AAGCAAAAGTGGGGTCTATACAGTTGCTGTTATCGCCACTGAATATAGAATATATATAGTCAAGAAATACTATAATAATAATAAATACTTTAAGTAAAACAGCTAAAGCAGTCACTAGACTGTGAGCGAGTATTAGACAGTCAGAGCTACCCTATGACTTAAGTTTGTTGTTATTCTCACTAAATATAAAGAACAATCTGGAACATGACTGTGAACGAGCATTGGCAAGTTGGTAGCACACTATTTCAGCTTGTCTGTACTGTGGTATACCCTACAAGCCGCACATAAATGGGTATATGCCGTGACATGTCTACAATATGAAGAAGGAAATCGAAAATAAGTTGAATAGAACATGTTCAGATGTTCTTGAACTGCAAACCAGCTCAGGCAAGCTGGCTCAGCTGCAATATGCCCTGCAAACTAAGTTCTGGAGGGGTATATGCTGCTAATTTGCATAAATATGAAAGCGATATATAATAAATAAATAATAAATATGCTCAATCATTTAACTGTTCTCGGCAGTCGACTTAGTCAAATTAGAATACTCCAAGGCTCAAGTAAAAAATGTTAGAGTTATTTCAAATGAAAGGCAACTCTATAAAATCAATATCTTTCAAGGAATATCCTTATTTAAGGCCGAGCTATGAACGAGTATTGAGCAGTCAGTCGCCGCCGTCTGCAGCGCTCTCTTTTGTTTTGGCCATGCAGTCAGTTGCATACAGAAGAGGGCGCAAATATGTTGACCTTGCTGAAAAGTGAAAGCCAAATTTGCATAATTCGCCAGCAACATGCAAAGTGCAAGCGAATGCAATGGACGGGGGTGGGCGCAGCCCAGTTTTAGCCGGGCTTTTAAAGCCGAGCAGAGAATATAGTTCTCTCGCTTAACCTGCTGACAAATTGTGGCCCAAGCGAGCTGTCAGCCCTTGCCACGGTAGCTCGTGCTTACCTCAGTCTGTGGCACGTCTGTAGATTGCTCAAATTACGCATGCAAACGACTAAGACAAAGGCGTTGCCATTGACGACTTGCGCCATTGAGACAGACAAAGTTTTCTTTTACGACAGTATCTGCCAGCAGACGCCCACAATGGCAGCTAAACTCCAACTTGCTCTTGTTTTGTTTCTTTTTTCCTCACTTTAGCTGTTGCAGTTGCTGTATGAAAAGTGCAACAGCAGCCAGTCACAGCTTCTGCCAGCCATGTAGGCTACAGCCTGGGCGCACTATAAAAGTAGAGAAAGTGGCGAAGTGGAAAAGTTTGCGCAGCATTAAATTAAAGCGGCTTACAAAGTAGCATGCAAATGGTATGAAAATTGGCGCTGTTCGACAAAATTACATTTTAAGTTATCTGAGAGGAAGGAGCTGAATGCAAGCATCACATAAAAAATTCATGAGGAACAGCAAACGTCGTTAACTAGCTGATTGAAAGCTTAACTCATTATTGAAATTTACTAATTATATTCTCTACAAATTGTATTGCTATGCAAAGGTAGGCAGCAGAAGCAAGAAAACTTGAGACTATTAAACATTTTTGGTTTCAAATAAATTTAAGTTTCTTCATAAGAGATACAAATAAAGCAAGGAAACTTGAAAAGAAAGGGAAAGGATTCCTAAATAAGTATTCTATATTAGGTCGCTTGTAGCTAACAGCATTTTGAATGCAGCTTGAATTTTGTAGTTTATAATACTAATTAATCTCTTTTTAAGAGTCGGCAAATTATCGTTTGTGCCAGACCATCTTACTCAGACGAGTCAGTGCTGCTGTCACTGGGTCGCTGTTGCTCAGAAGAAGCAAACAACGTTGATCCTGGTTACCCTGGATTGAAGACTTAATACACAAGCAATCAACAACATATCACTACAAATTGTACTTCCGTCCTGCCAAAAGACGAACAAGCTGGAACACCAATTTCCAAAAATATTCCTAATCATGAACATCATCGTTCTGTTAGCACTTAAAGTCCATTAAATCGTAATATTCTATTTATGTAATGGTGTTTTGTTGATCCTCACTTCAAGTGCCACAATTCTATGTATTAATCCATATATGTGCGCCTTCGATAAAAATGGACTTCATCATTATGAACGCTATAAAATGGACAAAGTGCATGATAAGCTTGACAAACAGAGACACTATTTTGATTAGAAACTTCAATAATTTGCAAATGTTGTCCTGGTATAATAAAATGTCAAACCAAACTCAACAAAAATCAACTATAAGCTGTTAAATGAGTCGTTAAATAAGTCAGTAATACAAACTTAGAGCTGTGTAACTCTAAAAAACAACTTTTATAATATAGGCATTTAAGAGAAATTTCTGACATAAAATTAATAAAAATAAAATTAAATAAAATAAACATGTTGGGGCGACATATAACCAATCTGCAGCCTAGCTCAGTTCCACAAATGGCTCATAGCAGACTTTATCAAATTTGTTTCACATTTGTCTATGCCCTTAATGCGAAGATTTGAAAATCCATCTGACAATGACCTAAGCTCCAGGCGTAATAGAGAGAACACAGTTTAACGCCTCTTCACATCGCTAGCTTTCAGCATAGTTTCCCAAGCAGCTGTTCACAGGGTCAACGTGCAGCTCCTAACAGCCAGCGCCTTGCTGTAAAGGAGACGCCACAAAGAGCTAAAAAACATTGTGAGTAAGAGCAAAAAATGTCAATACATTGAGCAGACGATAAAAAACTAAGTAGAAACCTGGGCCGTGCTGGCGCTGTCTTTGCGTTGCTTGCAGTTTTTTATGAGTCAGCTGCACACCTGGCTGCATGCCACCAGCGACATATAACCTGTCGATTATATGAACCAGCACTGAGCCCTTAAGCAGCTTGGCACTCGGTACAGCTTCATAGCAGTAGATAAATATAGAATATAGTCTGTCAGGCAGATGCTGCGATTAAACATTCTATGATGGAGCGCTGTGGCACTGTGGCACTGGTTGCTGCCACAAAACCTCCATCAACCTGCCACATACGATTCGTTGTTTGCGCTAGCGTGATTTATATTCCATTTGATTGCTGAGGTGTTGGCTGTGTTTGTTGTTTGGCATTCGATTGCAACTAGTAAATGGCAAATACCGCTTTCGCACTTAGCTCAGCTTTGATGCTGAATGATTCAATGCCTGCAGCAGCTGCAGGCTGCCAAAAGGACAGCGACTGCCTTTGAAAGTTTGCCATTTACCCCCAAGCTGACACTTTGACCCGGTTCTTCTTTCTCTGCTCCTTGTATCGTATTTATTTAAAAGATTTCTGTGCTTCAGTCAGTCAACTGTTGGCATAGTTGGCGGCAGCTTTTCACCTCGCTGCATTTGGCAGCTACTGCATCTCTCCCTCTCTCTGACGCTGCACTGCCTTAATTAAGTTTTGCGCCCTCTGCTCTATGGCATTGTTTACTCGAGCATCCTTTGCCAAAAATAATGCCGTAAATAAAACTGAGCAAAAAATGGGCAACGCGGAACTTTGAATATTCATTCGAACAATGCTGCACTTGGTTTTTGTAAAAAAAATTATATTTAGCGGGCGATAAAACAGACTTAAATAAGATATTCTCTACTAGGTTTTGTCTATATGCTAAATACTTAAATTAAAATTTCATATATGCTATTTAGATTTAAATCAAAGTGGAGCTTAGCTAAACGTTAAATTTTTTTGGCATGTGGATTAAAGTCTTAGGCAAGCTTATTATGATATAGAAACTAATCGAAATGAGAGAATGAGAGTCTGATATGACCGACTGCATAATACTCGTCCTTTCATATTTTCAGATTGTCTATTAAGCTGCTTTATAGTTATTCAGCTGCAAAGCTTGATGATGATGAACTGTGAAGCATTAAGATAAATGATATCTGTACAGCCTTGGGCACAGTCTAAATGGTTTTTGATCGTTAGGCATTGTCTAAATATTATTTTTGTTCTATCTATTGAGAAGGCCAACAAAGGGGTAACTAGCTATAAAACTTTGCTAGATATTTTTTAAAAATATCTAAGCTGTCTCTCTTAGCTCTCTTAGCCTTCAATGCCAACGCCTTTATCTTCAAGTGGTTTGCGAGAGGGCATATAGCAACTTAGGACCAACCGCAACATACCAAACGATCGAGATACTCAACATGAGTCCCACTTGCCTCCAATTCCATTTAGTAGTAGCAGAGAAAAGATGCTTTGCTCTATATGAAGACTGTACCTAGTTGATAATAAATTGCAATGAAAGGCATCGCTCTTGATCACAACAATCTAACTCAGGCAAAGACTTGAGCAAATATATTTAACCGAGTGAAAGAAAGCAAACTTGAGCCAAAGCAACTTTAATACTCCATTATATTACAGCTTTAAGTAGCATATAATTGCCACAGTTAATTTCTCAAGCACTCGTTTAATGGTGCAGCTGGCTTTAACAGCCGCCAGGCAGTCAAAGCAAAGCCGCAGCCAGACAATGAAGCGTTGAAAAAATAGCGAAAAAGGAAATTAAGTGACTGCAGCGCGCCCTGTTTGCCATGTCGCCCAACAAGGCTCTTGGCTGGCCACTGTGGCACGCCATTGTCGCGTCACTTGCCACACGGTGGCCATTGTCCATTTTGTTTGCGCTCAGACAGCTGGCAGCATCAGCAGCAGCAGGCAAACAACAATGGAGTTGCTGAATGCTTGGAAATGAGTGAGGGCATGGCTCCGTGTTTCGTGGTCGACAGATGCAAATTGAGGCAAGCAGCAGGCAAACAAGTTGAGCTAACCAATTTTAGAGAGTCTTAACTAGTTTACACCCTTCAACTCGAAAGGCGTACACAAATCTGAGAGAGGCTGAGCTTTAGCATTTTTATGGCATCGAACAACTGTTGAGGCCTGCTGCACGGATTACCAACCATAAAGCTACCCTAATAGGTCAGTAGAAACGCAGCTGCTGCACAGCTGGGCTACCTGTGGCAGGCGCCTACCTGTATGCACCCATACTTAAGCGCACTGCCTGCACTCAGGGCATATCAGTCATCTCAGCGACTTTGTCACAGTCACAGCCACAGCAAACGCATCGAGTCTTATCAACATGTACGAGGAGGAGTCAATTTCAAGCTTTGTGTTCAGCAACGAGGGCGATCAGCAAACGTTTCATCATCAGTGGCGCGTGGAGGGGCAGTTGCATGAGTGCAGCACCTGCCGCAGCAGCATCGATGCCGACGAGCCGCCCAGCCAGCATTGGCTGCGCCGTGGCGAGCAGCTGCAGCCGCAGCTCACTAAGCAGCAGCAAGCTGTCCTGGACATCATAGAGGCGCGTCAGCTGGAGACCTTCTTCTTTTGCGACGAGAGTGCACAGCAGAAGCTGGACGACTTCCTGGCCGAGACGTGCAGCTCAGCAGTGCCCGAGCTGCTGCGCTGGATGTTTCACAATGGCACGCAGTGCCTGGAGTTCCATGTGGCATGCTATGTGCTGGTACAGAACCAGGTGCACATCTGCCAGAGCGGCACAGTGCTCGTCCAGCATCACTATGACATTGAGGAATGCGTGAGCGTTGTCTACGAGCTGCTCACACAGCGCATACAGAACTATCTCCGCAGCAGCCACGATGTCGGCCTCGATGAGTGCAGCATTACACGCATACGCGTTCAGCTGAAACGCAAACGCGCTGAGAGTGACACAATGAATTTGACCAGCTTGCCCCTGCCCCTGCAGCTCAGCCAGGCGACGTCGGGCCACAGCGGCACCAGCGAGTCGGACTTGGCCAGCCTGCGGGCGGCCTATGTGAAGCATCAGCGCGAATGCAATGGCTACTTTCCGCCCAACATGCGTGTCAATCTGTACGGCCTGCAGCAGTGTCAGACCACCAAGGAGTTGTATGTGGTGCCGTATCACATCAGCGAGACGCTGCAGCAGCGGCCCAACAAGAATTTTCTCATACTGAACGATATTATGGGCCAGTTCCAGCGACTGCATGAGCTGCACACTCCCATCGGCCCCATTCGCAGCCGCTCTCGCCCCTACACGTGTCGGCGGTGTCGAGCGCAGTTCAAGCAGCGCAGCCGTCTGCACATCCATCAGCAATTGCGCTGTGGCCAGGATTTCAGCTTGGACAGCATTCATCCCGACATCGTCGAGGTCTACGAGCAGTGCCTGCCCGTTTCACGCAGCGCCTCCCAATACACCTGCTACGGCGCCACCAGGCCCAAGACGGTCATCCGGAAAGGCCAATTTGTACCCATCGAGTGCGACTGGCGCCGCAAGAGCTCCGTCCAGGTGCAGCACGGCCCCTGCGTGGTCATCAGCAATGCCCAGCTTAGTAGTCCCTGTAAATATCTATAGCTAAGACAATTTTCAATAAATTTATACAAATTTAAGCAAATCATGTTCTGCCAATTTATTTGTGAAAGAAATCTTACAGATGATACTGAGCGTAGAGCTAAGTAGCAACCGAAGCAGCAGACTTAGAGAGATAGTAAAATGTATCCTCAAAGAATTTTAAATCATTCATTAGCATTTTCACAGCTTCCATAGGACAGTTAGAGATTAAAAAACAGTGTGATGTCAGCAGAGACCAGTAAACATCCAAGAGCAGATATTTAGTAGTTTTTTTTTACTGGTAAACATTTTGTGTAGCAGATTTGGAGCATTAACTTTCATTTACAGATCTTCCGTGGTTTAAGAATTAGTTAATAAATTCACTTGATACTGAATTTTTTGGAACTATGCATGACTCAAGCTCGCTTAAATCAGCTTTTTCGAAAAATTCCAAGACTATAAAACTGTGCTCTGAATCAATGTGCTTCCATCCTAAAATTAAATACTTAATACTATTTAAACATCTAGTTAATAAAGGCAAATGTAGTACTTTGGTTATAAATGTAGCCTTTATTTAGAACTATTGTCTAACATTATTCAAAAATCAATGACAACACTTTAATTATATGCAACAACAAATGGAGAGTTCTAGATCTTTAAGCTATCAATTGAATTAGTCAATCAGTCTATTGCTCTGTTCACTATTATCAGTTGCCCAATCAATTGCTGAGGCAGTTAACATATTCTTCGATTAGTCTGTTAGTCATTAAGTTCAGTCCCGCAACAATTTCATGCTAATGTCTACACTGCCTTTTGGCAGCTACTTCAGCTGGCTAACAACATATACAAAACTTTAATCTAAAAGCTGCAAAAATTCTTTAAGTATTTTTAAATTTAGTTTTGGTTTTCTTTGTCGCTTACTTTTACTTCAGTCGACTAAAGTCAGTCAAGCATTCAACTAATCAATTGTTATTCTTCAAGTTATAAACGTATTCAGTCAGTTAGACTGAGTTAGTTATTCAGGCATTCAGTCAGTTAGTCAATTAGTAAGTCAATCAGTTAGTGAAGCAATCTATCAATCAGTCAGTCCGACCAAGTCAACTCATCCATTAGGCAGTTAGTTAACTATTCAATTATTCCTGAGTTCAAGTAATTCCATTTTCAATATAATATGATCAATATTTGCTTAATTTCCGCTTGAATAAGGCAAGCTATAGGGTATACAATTAACAATACTCCAAATAGGGCACATCAACTGCAGGCAGAACAATCGAAAGCGTTCTCAGTATTCAGCTGCTCTCTCTGGCAGCCACCTGCCAATAGCTGAGAAACAGCTAATTTGTATCTTTTATTGCGGTTCTGTTTTCTGCTGCGCGTGACGTGGCTCTTGCGTCAAAGTCAAGAACAAAATCATGATTTTTTCATCTATTTCATAGAGCGTTCACTTTGCTAATTGGGATAAAGCAAATGTCAAATTCATTATGGAAAGCCAATTGCATTTCAGAGGAACTTAAACAACTCGATATTGATGGGTGAGCACCTGAATGCGTGGGTACAGTTCAAGGTCAACTGGAATTTACTATGCGAATTGATAGCATTGAGCGACGAGCGCTTTACAGTCATAGCCAACAACTCAAATGTCAATCAGCGCGAGAAATTGGATTAGTTGAGTGAAGCGTTTGCATAAGCAACCTGATGGAACTCAATCAAAGAGGCTCAAAGCAATTGCTCAGCCTCGAGTGCCTTGCAAAACTGAATTTTAAATTCAAAAATCCACAGGAAAATTTATTATTAAGGTGCGAATAATATGACGTCATTAAATAATATGGGAAGAGAAAAAACTCCACAACATAATTTTAAATATCATTCAAAATTTCCTTTTATATTTTATGTAATTGCATTTGAATAATGTTTTTACTTTAAGGCTTACAGGGTATACATTGAAGTGCCCTAAGCGTAATGCGAACCAATAACGCCACTTTGCCATTAAACAAGACCTGTCTAGCCGGTCTGGCCATTGTTCTAATAGCCAGTACAAAGGACGACTAGGACAACGTGTGCAAAATATGAGAGCCCATCAATTCAAGCCCAAAATGAGCAAACGAAATATATAAAAATAAATAAAATAAACATTCCACACTAAGTTGAACCTGTTCAAACAATTGATAAATCGATTTTTACTTTGTATATAGATACCCTGTAAAATTGAATTTTGATCTATGCAGAACTGTTGACATTTTTAAATTGGAAGTAAAGAATTGTAGAAAATTTGATGAAATTAAGTTTCCAGGAATATATATATTAATATATGTTTGAAACTACTTGATAACTTTAACGCGATAGATTCTTTATATATACTGAAGTACTTTATATAGCTATGGGCTTGAGTTTCCGTTAGCTATTCCTTCAAAAATATATAGTTGAAATCATTTATATATATAGTTTATAGTTTGAAATCATTTATAAAAATTGTAAAAAAAAATATATTAATAATGCCAAGAAAATTTCTATTAATTAATTTATTATTTATTAATTTATACAACTCTTTTAACAAAAAAAAATTAATTAAAACATATTTTTAGTGTTTTAAAGTAAAGGACTAAGCCTTCTTTTTTATTTTTAATTTTAAAAATATAAAAAAATGAACTAAATGGAAAAAAAAATTAAATAAAAATATGAACTAATTATTTAAAATATAAAATATTAAATTCACGTTCAATTTTCATTGCTTTCCTTTAAAGGGTATTCCATAGTCTAGCTTTTAAAATTCCTATTGATTTTTGAGGGTTATTTTTTGGAAGGTTATAAATTGCAAAGCTGAATGACATGCCGTCCTTTGTCAAAGCTGTTGGCCAAACGCTGTGTTAGTAAATCGTGCGGAATTCACGCCCCGTCACTTTTACACAGCCCCCTGATCACGGCGCGCCCCCTACAGGAAGGCGGAGCGGGAAAAATTCAGCGTAATAATACATAATTCAAATGTGACGCTGGACACATTAGTTCCGCCGTTTTGAGCACTCGCCGGGCGTCTGTGATAAATGAAGGTTCAACAGGTTGATGGCCGACTGGCACAGCAGTTAAAGTAAATTTCATGCTGGACAATTTCTGAGCAGTTCATAAGTTCTTGTGTGCCAAAAAAAGCACAAATATATAGATATAGAGAGAGAAAGAAAACCATGAAATGTCTTAAATGAGCATTTCATTTGAAATGCTGCGACTGCCATCGATGATTGATGAACGTCGTCGGCGTGCGTATGACTAAAGAGAACTTGGCACATGGGCCATAAAACATTTTCAGCAGAAGCTCATCAAGTAGCCATACAATAAATAAAAGAACATTCGCAAACAATTCGTGATGGCACAACAGAGCTTCCCAAATGTGGGAGATCATAAAAATGCAACGCCCCAGTCAAAGACCGAAACACATTCAAATTCAAGCAGAACACATACACACACAAAAACATATATATATACATATATATATATATAAATATATATATATATATACGCACATAAAGAGCAGACAAAAGACATAAAGTAAATGAAGCGCCGCACCTAATACAAAAGGAAAAAGTAATAGACAAGTATTTCTATTTCTATTCCATTTCCATTTGCCATTTGCCATTGTCGTAACTCAATGCTATTTAAAGCCAACTCGAAATCAAAATCAATTGTTACAAGCACAAAGACAGACACACCCACACACACACAATGTCAGTGCTTGGTTTAATAGAAAGATAATCATTTTTGGTATGTTAGGAGACGCATGGTGGCTAGGCAAATGGAACCACAACAAATCTGCAACATTCAATTGCAACTTGTTCGCAAGGATTTTATTTTTTAAGAGATATATTCGCAAATCAAAAGCAAGTCAATTCCTTGCACAACACGATTGCCATGACAGCAAACTGTGCCACCGAGACCGAGTCCAATCGGCAGCAACATTTAATTGGCTTATAATGCGGCATGGCACAAATGCCAATCGTGCTATGAAAATCTATTATACTGGGTCGTATACGTAATACGCTTTGAGCTCCAGAGCAACTGCAACAATTGAGTGCATAGGAAGTAGCTGTGTGTCTAGTCCAGTCGAAGGCAATTTCTATACAATATTTAGACAAAGGTGCTATATTTATGAAAGCTATGTAAATATTAAAAATAAGCAAGGCTGCTGTCGAGTCGAGTCTGACTGACTGGGTAATACTTCACAAGGCGCCAGCCCTAGACAAACTGGCACAACTTCTTCAAAATATTAGAATGCTTAAAGACTATTCATACTTTTGAAGAACCCACATACTAATGTTCATATCTCTACAGTTCATATAGGCTCTGTCTTATTTTGAATACTATAAAACAAACTGGAGAAGATGAGAAGAAGAAGTGAAACAAAAATGGCAAACTATTTCAGAGCTTCGAAATGTCTCATTAATAAAAGGTTTTTAAACATTGAAACCCTTGACAAGGGGAATTCGGGGAATTAAGATTTACTTAAAATATATCTAACAGGCAGAAGATGCAGTGACACATGTCACAAAGTAAATATATAAATGATCAAAACGAGGAGTAAAGTTGATCTAAGCTTGTCCGTCTGTTCTTCCATGAGTTGGTTATGTATGCCTAACCGAAGTGTAGAATGATTAAAATACGAGCTCTTCACGGAGTTCAGAATAGTTTCTAGTCGGACACTCCCGACTAAAGCATGCTTACTTGTTAAAACCACAGCCCAGTCTCACTCAAATCGATATCAATACTAGGCAAATGGCAGAAGAAAAACAAAGAAGGTCTGTTCACCTACTGCATTAAATATTACATAATAAATATATTTCAAAATTTCGCAATGTCTCCATTCGTCTGCTTCTATTTAGAATATGCTACAGGGCAAAGGTCAACGCCTGTCAATCCTACATGATTCCTATATGAGCTCAATAGAAACGGACCAGACATCTACCTAATGACACATGTTTAATCAAGAGGAATTTATTGCCATCAAATTCTAGAAGACGACAACGGTCTAACCAGCTGTGCAAGCAAACCAGGCGCATAAATATCCATTGGCCACACACAGAGAGAAATGCAAAATTTGGCATTTAAATGGTTTAATGTCGCGCCAAAATAAATCAATACAATGCCCGAGGCTCAGACATTAAACAATGGCCTAAATAAATTGTTTAAGTGCTATCTAAATAGGTTCATAAACATGAATGAGTGCTCGACGAATGCGAGCAACATTGTTCCCAGCTGTGCAAATGATAAAACGAATATATTTCATTTCTCCATATATATCAAGGTGGCAAAGTGTCTGACAAATAGCATTAAGTTCGGGCATACCTCAGGAGCTCACACATGCAACAAACAAGTGAGAATGTTGCAGTCGGACTTAACTGACTGCACAAGACTCGTTTCAATTGATTCGAACACGCTCCATTGCCATACAACTTATATGTAGATCGACAAGAATACGCCTTCCAGGCTTAGCTTTAAGATAGAGGACGATATGGCAGAGATCATCAGATAATCAGTTGCTCTTTGTGTTATAGTTCTGCAACTGTGACTCGATTTTCCATGCCCCTAATAAGTACAGTTAAGTGTGCTATATATTTATGGCCAGAGCTTGTCTATACTCCAAATCTCTACTTTTAAAAGCGACTTAAGTAATAGATTTTTTGGTTAAATATTGTTATTTAAGTACTCTACGTTCTGTCACGACTCTAGCAGCCTTAGCCCTTTATGACCATACAAAAGAGCATAAGTTCATCATTTAAAGCCTGTGGCTTGCTCAAAATCAATATACTCTTCTCGTGAATGACGTGAAAAAGTGTAAAAACAAGATAGAAACTTTGCATTGGAATGCATTCCCATTGCATAAGACACGTTCAGGGTCACCCACATGAAAGATGTTTATTCCTAATGCCCGAGCAAGGGCTTGCACTACAATTTTTCGCTACAAATTGTAAACACTTTAGGTGCGCACTTCAGTGGGGCTGTGGGAGCTGTGCAGGAAGCAAATATTATTTAGACTTTGATTTTTATAACTTTGCTCAGCTTTTGATTGCATTTAAATGTTGTTTATTAGATGAGCGGAACCTTTTGTATAAGTAGGTAGTTAAAGTTAACAGTAAAAAGGAAATTGTTATGAATTATTTGAAACTAACTACAAACAAATTGCAAGTCTTTTGCTATTTCAAATTTTAAGATCGACGCATTCATATACAAGGAAATGCGAACGTTCGTTCGGACGCATAAAGAGACAGGCAAAGCTAGATTGACTCAGCTCTTCATCCTTATCAAGAATATATATACTTTATGGTGTCTGCCATGTCTCCTTACATATATCTTAACAAAACCAAAAGCCCAGAGATCACATTTTCAATGGGTTCCAGGTATAAAAATAAATTATTCCATGAGCATTTGTTCCCAACAAACAGCAAGACTAGAATTTCTTACCAATAAATAGTTCCTAATAAAACAAATTAATTTTTACAAAGCACAAAAATATCTAAGGACAGACAGAACTCTCAATGCTTTCAGATAAAGTCACCCATGAATCAAGTAAAAATTCTTTTAATATTTCGAAATCTTCTTTTAAAAATAATACAGCCAAAAAAGGCTTTAACTTAACCCCATAGTTAAAACTTTTAAATGATTTTTTTTTCTAAACCTTTTTATATCCACGCTTTAATTTCAGAATAGTCCCCGCTCTAAAGAGCTTGACTAACTGCATTAAAATAAATTTCCCTATTTAAAATGTGTAACGCAACAAAATATTTAGTGCAAGCTTTCAATATGAGGCCAAGCTTGAGCTGTTCGATCTGCGTAACATTTCTATGGATTTTCGCCTTGAATGCAAAGGAAACACTTAAAACTGCTCAAACTCGGTTCATAAACGAGCTCAGCGGATATACGAGTGAATTGGCAAGCAAAATTAATACAATCGAGAGGTAAATAAAAGTATCCCAATCAAAATCTGAATAATATCTCATTTCTGCTGTCAGCTTTCTGGCTGAGGTGCGTGCAAAGAGACAACTGTGGAGCACAAACCCCGAGGCTTATTTAGCCAATCCGTTGAACAGTTATGCGCTTATACGACGCCTGCACGAGGATTGGAGTTACTTTGAGGCTTACATGAACGACGCAGTGGGCTCATCTCAAGCTGCCAATGTAAATAAGCTGATTGAGGAAGAAGCGCCCAAGGTTGAGCAGTTGGTGGAGGCAATGGAGACGCTTGTACGCCTACAGACCTACTATGATTTGGATGTGGAGCAACTGGCCCAAGGGCTGATCGATGGCAAACAGTCCAGGTGAGTGACTATCATAAGTTTAATTTCATCTTAATCAGATCGACTTTACAGTTGCCCACTAAATACTCTCGATTGCTTTGCCCTGGCGGAGCTTTGTCAGCAGAAGTCTCTTCCACAATTGGCATTTGCCTGGTATAGAGCAGCTCTGGACAGCTTTAACTATGCTCAACAAAGCGAGTTGTATGAGAAAGTTTACGATCTAACTGTGTTTGATTTATACGGCAAATATGCAAATATACATTAGCAAGCGGTTAGTTCCAAAGTGGTTAATATTGACTGCATTTAAGGTGAATGTTTGACAGGTCACATTGAGAAGGCTTCAAGTGTGCTCAGCAATGTCGCAGATTTACATAGCCTGCTGTCATTACATTCTTTGTAAGTGCTCCAAATAATTCTTTATAAATCAGTATAAAAACTAAGCTTAGCTCTGCTCTGCAGTTAAACAATGTGCCGATAGGGGGCGCCACTATGTTTCCCGCTCTTCAACTTTATGTAAAGCCACAAAAGGGCAGCGCGCTGATTTCACATGTTTTCGAAGAGCATTTCTGATGTCCCGTCTTGGTGAGCTGCAAGTGGAGTAGGTTTTCGTATAAATATTAATATATATTATATACATTAAAACTCTATAAAAACTCACATTTTCAGCTCTCACCAAGCGAATATACAGTTGAAGAAGTTAGCTCATGTGTCAATCACTGTGCCTGTTAGAAATGCTTATTAAATACTTTGTCAAAGTTGCAGGTGTTTCTAATGTGGCATGGCTAATTAATACGAGACAAATCTGAGTTTAGTTCAACTTGCCGTGATCAGTTAACAATCGGCTGACAATGAAGTTGCACGTTTCAATTTATGGCTGCCTCGTCTTGCTGTGTGCCAGGCTCACCTGTTCATCAGAGATGTACACCAGCTCAGTGCTGGGTCTGGTGAAACTCCTGGACATTGAGAACAAGTTCGTGCTCCATATGAAAGAATACGCTGAGGCGCAGGAGCAAAAGCTGGAAACGCTAAAAATGTGCGTGCAAATTTAATTAATTAAAATTTAATTTAAGCAAACTAAATTCCTTTGCAGCTATTTAAAAACACTGGAGCGCGTGGCACTTAAAAGCAAAAAAGAACAAAACGAATTCGTCTCCAATCCACTGCAAGTTTTCTCACTTATTCGACGCTTACGTGAGGACTGGCCTAAGTTGCAGGTGCTCACGAAGGCGGAGGTAGGCGCAGGTAAACCAAAATCATAATTTGATGCAAGCAATTATATTGCCTTCAACTCTAATGCCAATGCAGAGCAACTGCAGGCCATGACAGAGCTCTTGGACCTGGCGCCTACTAAGGAGGATATGGACGAAACTCTGGAGGGCATGGATCGCATAGAGGTTACCTACGATTTCAATCCGTTTGACATAGCAAAAGGTCTGCTGAATGGCCAGCAATTCAAGTAAGTTATTTCCCAGCTGCAGGTCAAGCTTTAAGCCAAAACAAATATCTTGCAGCCACACGCTTTCCATACGCGACTGCCTGGCTATGGCCAGGCACAAATATGGTAATAAGAACTATGGAGGAGCTTTTGTCTGGTACAGCATTGCACTCAAACGGGAGAGGGAGCCAAATTCCTTTACCTACGACAAGGTACTGGGCGGAGCATTGGATGGTGTGCGTGAACAATTTGCCAGGATGCGTATACTGAAAGGTGAGTGCCATATGTGATCTGTCTTCCCATATGCCTCATATATATATGCAACTATTAACCAGATATGACAGAGAATGAGCCCTTACTAAGTGAAAAACAAGTGCGGGAACGAGTCGATAAAATTCTTAAATCGGCGAACTCGACTGCTTTGGACTACTTTGTGAACGAGCTGCTAGAGCAGGACGACAGCTATTTAATGGCTGAAGGGAAATTGGAAAAGTCGAAGGTGACATCGCATCATGTGGGTTGCCGCGATCAATTTCCCAAGCGCACGCATCTCACCTGTCGCTACAATTCGACTACCACACCTTTTCTGAAACTGGCGCCACTTAAATTGGAGGAGATCAATCTTGATCCGTACATAGTCATGTACCACAATGTGATTTCCGACAGCGAGATCGAGGAAATGAAGCGGCAAACGGTGAATATGTCTAACGGGCTTTCAGCTTTCGCATCCTGGAATCAAAGTCAACCAGCACGAGTTGTGGCACGCGTGAAATGGCTGATGAACCCAACTCCATTCGTGGAGCGCTTGAATAATCGCATTACGGACATGACAGGTTTCCAGCTGCAGGAATTTCCATCGCTGCTGGTAGCCAACTATGGCATAGGTGCCTTCTTTCAGCCCCACTACGACTACGTGACAACGGATCGTGTGCGCGTTGAGGATAACTACGGACTGGGCGATCGTTCGGCTAGTGTGGTATTCTATGTACGTATGCCACATCGGATTTCTTTATATTGAACAAACGTAACACTTATAGGCAAGCAATCTAGAGGGCGGCTCAACCGTCTTTACCGAGTTGCAACTTACAGTTCGACCCCAGAAGGGCAACAGCTTGGTTTGGTATAATCTATTCGATGACGACACACCGGATCCGCGTTCCCGGCATTCTGTATGCCCAACCATAACGGGTTCTAGATGGAGTACGTACTTTGACGTTTCATTAATTGACTTTTTTAATTTTTTAATTCTTTGTTAATTTAATATAGTACTTATCAAATGGATCCACAGTTTGCCTCAGACCTTTGCCAAGCCCTGCCAGGCCAGGCCAGCTCAGCCAACAAAATAAGCAATAAACAAATTTCCTTTTTATATTTGATAAATATATATATAAATATAAATATATATATATATATATATATATATATATATATATATATATATATATATATATATATATATATATATCTGCTCAACGCTTTAACTTTATTTGTATCTGAAATGGTATTTTAAGTGTCCATTAAAAATGAGACAATGTCTGCCTTCACAAAATATAGCATAATAAATATAAAATATTAAATATAAATAATCTCAAAAAAAAATTATTTTAATAATTCTTTTTTTTTTTTATTTTGATAATGATTATTATGATAATTATCATCACTTTGCTTAGCCTCACAATTTTATTGATCTTCATATATGTAAGAAACTTTTTAATGATGTAGATCCCTTAGAAGTTGCAGACATTTTTCTTGATGATCATGCAAATTCTTAATGATAATTATAGAAATTTTAATGTCTTATATATCATAAATAGTAAGCAAGAAAAAAGTACAAAGCGCATTTTAAAATAGGAAATGAAAACGTTCTGCCAACAAGAATAAGATAACGAAATACACGAGAGATAGAACCTTTCCGAGGGTATCTTCCAGTCGAACACACAATAGTTGCATTGAATGATTGCAGCTATCTGGTCACGCTAAGCCTAATGCATGCAGCTTGTAAATAAACCATGGAATTTAAATTAAATTTGTATAAAAACTTTTAGCTGAATTTGAAAGTGGTTTATACTACATAGAGAATACAGTAGGAATAGTGGGTTCAGCTGAAAATGACGTGGATTTTCGTATGTTTTGTAGTGCTACAGGCAGCATTTTGCAAGGCGGAAATGGAAAACGAAATATTTGTGTACAGCAGATCTGATGGAAGCATGACTAAGTTGTTGCAGCTGGAACACAAGCTGCTGAGTAGCTTGGAAGTGATGGCCAAAGACATGCAGCAGAAGCTAAATATGATAAAGCTGTAAGGCCAACTGCTAAAGTCAGTTGTGAAATTAGTTATCAAATTCAGTTACTCACAGCTACCAGCTGATGTTGGAGCGTAAGCCGCTGCGTAGCCCCGAAAAGCAAGAGGAATATGTTGCAAATCCCCTAAACGCATTTACATTGCTGAGACGGTTACAGCAGGACTGGCCCAAATGGCTGGCGTACCTTGCAAATCAGGCCAAAATGGAAGAGATGCAAAAGCTGCTGGAGCAGGTGCCAAGCGAGAAAGATTTGAAGACAGCAATTGAGGGCTTATTGCGCATTGAGAGTGTCTACAATCTGGAGACATCGCACATGGCCAAGGGCATGCTCCTCGACAAGCAATACGAGTGGGTGATGTATAGACCAACTAATCGGAAGAATAAAGCTGAAAAAGACTCGTTCCATTTCCCTTCAGCTCCTATCTCACAACACCCGATTGCTTGGTCCTGGCGGACACTCTCCTCAACAGCACAGAGTTCGCCAGATGTGCGCATTGGTATCGCACGGCACTGCGACTATACAAGCAGCCCTATGATAAGCTGTTCAGTCGAGTGCTCGGCTTGAAGCGCAAAAAGCTATACAGAAAGTATGCTCAGGCCATTGTCAACGAGCGTAAGCATACATTTGATAAATAATTATTTTACCTACTAAATTCAGGTCTGCTTTGACAGCGGATGTCTCGCACACGCCGCGAGTGGCTGGCATAGAGCCCGGCTGGCAAGAAATGGCTGATAAAATAACGAAGAATCTTGTTCGTGATGCCAGCAGCGATAAAATCGCTCTGATGGTGGATAAGTATCTGGCAGTAGACGAAAAAGTCTTCATTGCTCAGCGCGCCAAGTACAAGCCAAGGCCCAAAGTTATGGAGAAGGCTTGCCGCGGACTCTGGCCAGAGCGGAAGACACATAATTTGACCTGCAGCTACGTCAACAAGAACTCAGCTTACTTAAAGCTGGCGCCCTTGAAGCTGGAGCAGCTGAGTTCGGAGCCCTTGATACAGCTCTACCACGATGTGCTATACGATAGTGAAATTGCAGCTATTCAAAATGCGGCAGTTTCCGAAGCTGAGGCCAACAGGGTAAAGCTCAACGTAAACCATCGAATTGCTGATATGTCAGCAATGGATGTGCCAGAGCATAGTGAGCTGCACGTGCTTAACTTTGCCCTGGGCCAAGGCGCAGCCACGAAAGCCTGCAGAGCGCGCAGCACTCGCTTGGCTACAGTTGTTTTCTATGTGTGTACAAAGATAAAGGATTATTATTTAATCATAATTAAAATACCATCTATTATTATCAATGCAGGCGAATGACGTTGATATTGGGGGCGCAACCATATTCCCAAAACTGCAGCTTGTGGTGCAGCCACGGCGAGGCAAAGCGCTGCTGTGGCACAATTTGAATGCAGCTGGTGTGCTAGATCCTTTGGCGAAACATGCTGTTTGTCCCGTGGTACTTGGCTCCAGATGGGGTAAGTCGAATGCAACTGCAAATACATATTAAACTAGATTAACCATGCTTAATATTCAATTACAGCCATTACAAAGTGCATAGAAGACGAGCAGCGGCGGCTGCCCAAGACGCTGTGCCTGGCCTGAATAGATATATAGATTCCTCTAAAAGATAAGAGTAATGCTAATAAAGAGCTCAATGCTTACAAAAGTGGAACAATGCCGTCTGCCTTCTCCCTCTCCCTCTCTCTCTCCTCTCTCTTTCACTTTCGCTGTCATGTTTGCCATAAAAATTGCAAGCGTCACTAGATTTGGAACAGGGAAAGGGTCGCAGGGGTAGAGTCAAGTCGGCTGCTATCTGCTGCTATATCGTAAGCTTATGTGCTTGCCCCAAATACCATTTAGCGGAAGTGCACACTTCAGTAATGGAACGGGCGACGCAAAGTGGCAGGCGAGTGGAAGAGAGCCACGACGAGCACAATGAAAGGCGGCGCATTGACAATGGCGCGGGCACGCGAGATGCTTAAAGAAAAACAACGTTCATTTTTCACCCGGCACAAACAGCCAAACAGCCAAACAGCCAAGCAGAGGACACACACTCACATAAAGGATGCGCTCAACTGATTTTATATGCGTTGCTGCTGAGTTGAGGGCAACTGTTGACTGGCCATGAAACTTTTCATGAATATTTTAAGCAATTGCATAATTTACAATTGCAGCAGCGAGTATCAGGCGCAACAGCGGCAGCTGCAACTCCTCGAGTCGGCAAAACTAATTGCCAAGATTACGGCAAGCTGAATGCAATGGACCATGGACCACGGCCAACGGGGCTGGAGCGGCAGCGCCAAGCAACTCAAATAGCAGCACTAATTGGAAAATTTTCAACTGCATTTGCCGCCGCGTTGCAGCTCTTAAATAGTGCTAATGCTTGGTTAAGTTGTTGGCCCGCTGCCGTCGCGCTGCCTAAAACTTACAATGGGTCGGATTGCAGAAAGACGGAGAGACAGTCAAGCTGTCGGCTGTGAGTGTTGCGGCAAATAAAATCAGCATGAAAGCAATTGTGCAGCTCACTCGGAAGAGCCCCCGAGGCTACACAAAAAGTGGAGAACAGACAGACAAACAGGACAACGGAAATTAGACACGAAGCCAATGCCAGTTGGCGCTACGAAGGGGTAGCAAACGTTGGGGATCAACTGCAACAATGAAAGCGAACTGTGGCTTGGCAGCTCAATTCAGAGCACGAGTATTATTCTAGTGATAAGGGCATATATAGATGTCCATGCAGCATCACATGGGAGTTGAGTGCAAGCGAATACATAAAGTTGCTTTGATTAACTAACTAAAGTTTAGCCAAGCGACTAAGTCAGACAGCATAGTTAGAAAAGAACTTCCTGCAGTAAATTCAAAATTATATTTATAAATCTGATTATAATTTTTATTAAAGGAACTTCTTTACTTTCACCGTTATTTTCCTAATAATATGAAATACTCTCATATGTAGACACAAGTGTGTAAAAACTTGACCTGACCCGTTGACTAGTTGTTTGTTGTTGAAGAAATAAGGCTTTAAAACTTGGCCAGTAAAGCAGCAGCAGACAAGAGCAGACACTTCAAGGCCTCAGTTGCAGAGTTGAGGCCAAATCAAGGGAATCCATTGAATGGCTATGCGGCAAGCTGTTGAGATAAGTAGGAACTTCAGTGGCAAACAAACCGATGCAGATGCCACGCCACGCTAACATTGCCCAGAGATATACACAAGATTTCTCAGACAGCAGCAGCAGCAGCGGCAGCTAGATTGCCGTTGCAGTTGGCCAGTTGGACGCTGGGGAAGCATTGTAAGGCGATTCGAACTTTTAAGTGATTGAATTGTTAACGGCGACACGAATTTGTTTGGCAATTTGAATGATGTCGCCCTGGGAATGGTTTTGAAGCTAAGCGCTGCGATAATGGTGCACAACGAATAAGTTAAACGCGAACTCTTTACAAATTGTCAACTCTGTGTTTAAGATGCTTTAAGCGTGCAGCAAAGTGATGGATCCTTTTGTCAGTAGGCGGCAGGCAACATTTGCCCCCATAAAGGCAACTGAGTGCTGAACTGAGTGTCTATCACCTGCAACAGAGAAGGAGAAAGGACATTAAATCGATGCAGGCATTAGCCACAACACTTCACTTACTTGATGCCAAGTCATGCCAACTGCTTAAGTTGCGCTCTTTGCCACATATTCCATATGGCATATGCCATATGCCACATGCCGCATGCAACATGCAATCATGTCAAGCTGCTTCTACTGCTACTTACGCGCCCTGATGCTGCTTGCCTCCAGCTTATGTGGAACTTACTTCGAGTCAAGCTGTCGACGACATTGAGTACTTCATAAATGTCACGCTGGAAACGCTCAGCCGACTATCGACTGTGTGTGCGTGTGTGGGCAGGTGTCTGGCTTTGGTTTCGTTGTGTTGATGCCGGCGTCGCAGTGCTGCAGGCGTATTAAGTCAATTGGGTGTGGATTAATAGCACAGTTTTGGGTGTACACTAGACACATTATATATTTAATAATATACTCAGAAATTGTAATAACGGGTCCAAGCATTGCTTGTGAATGAATACATATTAAATGTACGTCTATATTAATACTAATTAATTGCGTTGAGTCTCAAACCCAGCTACAAATCGTCGCCGTCATTTGGTAAATTGGCATCTTCGATTTTGCGTATTTCCGCCCATGTCAATGTCGATACCTTGATGTCCGTTATGGGTGCCAAGCAGTATGGGCAGTGGCGAAAGTCCATCAGAAAGAAATCCTGAACAGATTATCATTTTTCCCATTAATAATAATTCCAACTCAATAAAAACCGATGAGCACATACCATTGGATGCTGCTTGCAACGCTCGCTAATGCGTCCGTGAAAGTAATGATGACAGCGTCCGCATTCGAATGCCTGTTGGGGCCGATAGCAGATGCACGGATGCACCTCATACTTGTAATCTTCTGGCAGATCGTATTTCAGTTTGCTTCCAGTACCCTTGGCCTTGCCCTCGCTGCTGTCGTTGTTGTTGCTCTTTTTGTTTCTGTCTCTCCAGTTGCTCTTATTGTTATTGCAGTCGGTCAATCCAGGTTTGAGGTTCATTCTGACTGAAATGTTGCTGCCTCCAGCAATCAATTAGAAAATATGCTGTAGAACATTTATTACTTTATATTTAAATTATGACTTATAAATCAAATTCTTTAAGTCGTCCATCAAATTCTTTAAGTCGTCACAAACATTCAAGCGTGCACATGTGCACAGATGTATTCATATCTGCATACATATGCATATTTGTTTATGCACATGAATTCCGCTTAAAATAACTTCTTTTCGTAAAAAAAATAAGTTAAAAGGAAAATACAGTTGTTCTATGCACTTGTATATGCACACAATTAGTGTTTAATATCAATTACCTTTCAAAGAAAACAAATGCGTACAAAGAGTAAAAAATTATTATTTATTTGTACACATTTGCGTCGCGAAAATATTCAACTAAGCAAGCAGTCAGTGCTGAGCCGATAGGTACAGCCATAAAAAGCTAGATAAACAGCTAACGATTATCTGCCAGTCAACACAATCCATTAAACACCTATACATTTTTTTTAAATTGTAGGTCGATTTGCCAATTGGAAAATAGCTAAGTTGCCAACACTATCTCCAAATATTGAAGTAACGGTGCTTACCGGTGCTGTAAAATGCTAAACAATTGTATGCAGCTCTGAAAGTGTTCATACGTTTGTACAAATATACAAACATCGCAGTGTAATTAAAACCATTGTTTTTGTTTACCTACATATTTATATGTATATATTTATGGGGTTCTTTGTTTCTATATTTCACATATTTCATCTGTATACGTTTATGTCGGTTGTCAACAACAATTGCGATACATTTCATCCGCCATCCGTAAATCTTTAGCAGCAGCTCCACAGAAAGCGCAATTGCGCGCATCCATAAGATATGCAACCTTAAAACACAAGATCATTGAATTTATGTTAATATACATAGAGGAGATCAAACTGTTTACTTCTGGATGCATCTGACATCGTTCTCCAATGCGGCCCAAAAACGATTTCTTACAACTGGTGCAGAAAATAGACCCTCGTTTGCGATTACAAATACAGCTTTCGAGGCTCATATTCTCTGGCTTCTTAAACACGGGAAATTTAGATGAGGATAGCCAGGAGTATTTTTTTGATTTATTGCTACTTTCAATTTCCATTCTACAGCTGTCTCTACTTGCGTACCGTTGGTGGTTACTCGTTAGCTTAACAGTTCTTTTTGAATCAAGCTAATCGCCGTAGCCCCGTTTTCTTAACGGCAACCAGTGCTGTAAAATATTCTGAGATCGATAACAATATTGTTGGCATTCCTCAATTTATAAATAATTTTTATTAAAAAACCTCGGTTTTTTATAAACAAACTACATAAATAACATTTGAACTTAGAAAATACCATATTAATCCTCGCCTTTATTAAGGTTTCAGTAAATTAGATAATAATATAAAGAATAGGTCACTCCCAAACTGTTAATATAAGAATAACTACATTTAAGTTGATTGTTTGTCTAATACGGTTGGATAATAATTTCTATATTAAAAAATTAAATTGCTTATATAGTCAATATACCTTTTAACATATTAACAGAGTATTTACCCCATACTAAGTTTTGCCGAAGTATTCGAGCGTAACAAAAACTACTGGTGTGTATCTTGACTGATATAGCAATTCCGTTTAGCGTAGACACGAACCCAAACTCATACTGTAGTCTTCTCTTTCTAACACGTGTTGCATGCGCTTCCGAATATATACACAATATGTAATAGTCAGCGCCGTCGCAGCAATGTGAAATATACAATATGGCGAACCACCTTCAACTGGCTCGTTGGTCTAGGGGTATGATTCTCGCTTCGGGTGCGAGAGGTCCCGGGTTCAATTCCCGGACGAGCCCAAGTGTTGAAATTAAATTTTTTTCTATTTTTTAGGATTTTGTTTTTTTTTGTTTCAATTGCTGAATAGTATTAAATAAATAAAGAACAAATTTTCCGCTCTAAAAACAAAACAAGTAGCTGCTCTTAACTTCGAAGATTGTATCAGTTAGTTTCATTTTTCATTTTTTTGTTTAAATTGTTGGAAATTTCGTGACTAAGAGCAAAAATTGTGATATTTCGTTTTGTTTCTTTCTTGCGTCGCATTTTGGTTGCTATGCATTAATTTTTTGTTTGTTTTCTTTTTTCTTTTTTTTTTGTTTCCATTGTTTTACATACATAAGCAATTTGTAGTTTAGCATTCGTTTAGTTTTTAGCATTATGTGCTGGAAATACTTAGAACAATATGTATTTTTCATTAATTAAGATTAAGATTTGTTGTTTAAGCGCTGCCGCGTTCTTGTCTGCATTTTGTATTTGTATTTGTAGTTGTAGTCGTAGTTGTATGTGTGTATGCTACATGCACTGGCACCCAGAGTGCCTTTGTGTGTGTGTGTGAGTGAGTGATTTGTGAGGGGGGAAACAGTCTCTATGGATGCGCTGAATTTGTGTCCTTGTCCATGGCTCACTCATACTCCAAAACATTCTTATGATAGAATAATAAATAACTGCAAAGAAGAGAGTAAATGAATAATTTAGAACATTTAATACATGGTTGTCTGCATTGCTCTCACCCCTCGCTGTCGAGCACCTGCTTGAGCGATGCCATTGTTATCACATGATCATCGCACTTGACCCACGTATCCTTCTGATGTCGCACGTAGGCCGTGTAGTGGCCGGTATCGATGGTGCCCACATGATTGACAACGGCATACAGCGAGAACCGAAAGTCGCCATAGGCATTGTTCTTTTCGGACATAAAGGGCGTCATATCGAATTCGACGGGAAACTGAATGAACGACGAGATTTTGCGATCGATCAACGCTGAATGCTCGAAGCGCTTCAGATGGAACGACACGACGCTGGGCAAAGTGCGCAGGCTAAATTGTTTGGTGGACTCCTGATACGACTTGCAGGTGGAGCATTTGATTTTGGCCGCCGAGCCGAGGTGCTCGGCCCGCGTATAACGCTCCAGGCAATCGATCAGCGTTTTCGGCGTGACGCCGCCATGCGTTGTCGTCTCGCCGAGATCCAGTGAGATGTCCCAGAAGGGATCGAATGTGGTCGAAACGCCGTTGCATGCCTGGCAGACGACATCGCTCTGCAGCATACCCGTAAATATTTGATCGATGATGCAGTTGCACTGGCCATAGCAATGCGTGGCTGTTGCATTGGCACTTGAGCTGGAATTGCCGCCCGTTGCGCTCGAGCTGTTGCTCTTGCTCTCATGCTCCGACTTGGCCTTCACACAATGTCGATGCAGCACATCGAGCGTGGCTATGAAAAACTCATGCGCATCCTGCTGCTCATAGCCGGCCAAGTGTTTCGCATGGTTCCAAATTAAATGCAGCAAGCGATGCAGCGACAAGGGGGAACGTGAGCCCGAATAGAACTCCTGCACAAAAAGCCAAATCAATTGGTTGAACTGTATAAATTGGCTACTGCGCATGCGCTTACCTGGAAAAGACGCGACACCTCGCATACCAAACACTTGTGTGTGGATTTACTGCCACAGTCGTGGCGATCAGACATGAAATAGTCGCTCAACAGCGGCGTGTGCACCAGTGCCTAAGGAGAAGCATTCAGTTGAGATATAAATTACATAAAACAGATTAAGTAGACATGACGAACTTTAAATACCCTTACTGTCACTGAATGCTTATAGATATGAGGGCACAAGGTAAATAGTAATTGAATATCAGAGGTCAGATGTATGATATGGTAGATATATACATATACTGCTAATATCTATTGATTAACTTGTTAGCATTTAAAAACCGCGCCTTGTCCTTTACGATAATAATCGATAGCAAGCGTTCAAGCAAATACCAATTGCATTTTTTGTTATTGCAATTATCGACTTTTGTTGTTATTGCCCAATGCCATAAAACAGCTGATGTTAGAGATGAGACTTGAACTTATTTGTAACGCGATATTTAATAATTTTTTAAATATCCCTTCTTATAGCTGCAGCCTCACCTGGACAATACAGTTCATGAAGCAGGTTGCACCCAGATTGAGCAAGCCTCGCAACCCAATCGTTTGATTTGGTCGCACCAGACGCCGACGGGCATTGGCCAGCAGAAGATTCGTCTCCTTGGGTGTCGGTATCCATGGCTGCCAGCCGAGGCTCTTTTGCAGATCCTTCGCTTCCAGCTTGCGATTGATTATGGCGTAGTCACGACTGCGTGCATCGTATATAAAATCACGACACGCATAACAGTAAAGCGTGCCATGCGACAGCTCCAATGCAATATTGTGTTTCTTGGCTCTCAGATGGCTGGTAATGTGAGCACCCCGGCAGCCAAAGTAGATGCAATGCAGGCAGGCGTACAACTGGATGCCATAGCTGCCGCACTCGAAGCAATTGCAGTGTATGGCCTATGGAGAAGGGGTTAGGGAGGGTTGGTTCTTGGTGCTGCTGCTGCGGCTGCTGCTACTGCTGCTCACCTTTTTCTCACGCGCATCCTTGTTGACGCAGGCAGCGAAGTAGGCATCGATAACACGAAAGGTATCGTAGCTGTGCTCCTTTACGTAGCTCTGATAGTGCCGGCAGCCCGTTTCCGACATGACGTTAACGTTAACGTCGCTGTCGACGTCACTGCTGACGCTGACGCTGACGTCGCCTTTCGCGTCGAGCTCAGCGGCAAGCTTTTGCACGGTGCGCAAACAAACGGGTAGCGACAAATGCGTCGCATTCAGCGGCCCCTTTGTTAGCTGTGCGCCTTCGACACCCCCACCGCCCCGCCCACCGCTAACAACAGTTTCGTTAGCCGGACACCGGCCGGCAGCTGCCTCTGTGGTTGTTGCTGCTTTTGTTGTTGCTGCTGCGGCCGCTGCCGCCGCCGCTGCTGCTGCTCGAGTGGTTGTTGTTGTTGCTGCTGTTGGGAGTAAACGAACTTCAGGTACAACGTCGGCCGCTCCCCGGCCCAACGACGCGTATGCGCGCTTGCTGTTGTTGTTGTTATTGCCGCTGCTGGCTCTACTGCCGGCGCCGCTGCTGCTACCGCTGCCGCTGCCACTGCTTAAAATGCTTGTCGTACTATCAACACTGTTCTCTTTTGTTTTCGTTCGTTTTGCAGACGGCTGTGGCACGTTGGTTTTATCACACTTGCGCTGTTTTCGTCGAATTTTGGCCACTTTTATGCTGAACACGGGACACGAATTGTGTAAAATAGGAACTTTGTAGTTTTGTGGCTCTTTGATCAGTTTTCTGCTTTTTTCAAAGACACTGATTTTGCACACGCACACACACACAAATGCCACAGCGCACACACGCACAAACACACACACACGCACAAGCACACATGCATGGGTAGCGGACACAAACATACGAAAAACGAGCAGCGAGCAGAGAACAGCACACACAGCTGAAGTCGACTCTGGTATTGTTGATATAATATCGATACCAACGATGCTTTCTTTTTCGCATACTACTTGCGGCGATGTTTTTCAATACCGATAGATAGTGTGTGCAAATATCGACTAAAATTTGCATATTTTATATAATATTTAAAAAATAAATAATATAATTTTTTAAAAATGTTAGTTTCTTTTATTATTTCAAAATTAATGTAGTAGCAAACCTGTTTTGAACTATTTATTATTGGCGCTTTAATGGTTTTAAAATGATTTTATGGTATATATATTTGTGTGGTATATTTTAGTGTGACCAAAGTCAATTCGCGTTAAAATACATAAAAATTCTGTCAGCTACACAGGATAGATTTGTCTTTCAAACTATTTTATTTGTATACAATATTTGCAGAGCATAAATTAAAGCAATGGAAAAGTTCTGCCGCGTTTGCAGAGATAACGCAAATAAACTAGTGGACATATTCGACGAGCAGGAACCACAGGCAAACGAACCCAGCCTGGCTGAAATGCTAACCGAGTGCACCAGCTGTGAAGTAAACAAAGATGATGCACTGCCCCAGCAAATTTGCGAATCGTGCATTTCGGATGCACGCAATTTCTATGAATTCAAACGAAAATGCGAGGAGAGTCAACAGTATTTCTGGCAGATGCTTGAGGCAAACAATTTGCAACTGGCTGAATGGGCTGAGAATATGATCTCTGTAAAAATTGAAGAACAACAAAGTGAAGAGGATTTGACCGATGAAATGGATAAATGTGTGTACACCGACTCCCAAACGAAAGTTGAGGACACTTGGAACTCGAATATCTATTCAGCTTGTCAGTTTAAAATAGAATGTGATGTGATCTGTGAAACTAATAGCGAAAGTTTTGCCATTGATGAATCTTTACCCAGCAAGAAAATCGCCAATTGCTGCTCCACTTGCGGCAAGGAATTCCTAAGCAAAAAGAAACTCGTCCTGCACGAACGTTTTCATGCACGAAAGCGCGAGCACAAGTGTCAAATGTGCCCCAAGGAGTTTGTCAACCCAGGCAACCTGGCAGATCACATCAGGGCCCATACAGGTGAACGTCCCTACAAATGTCCGCATTGCGTGAAGGCCTTCACCCAGCGTGGCCGACTCAATGAGCACATACGTACACATACAGGCGAGCGACCCTTCAAGTGCCTGGAGTGCCCCAAGACATTTGCTAACGCTGGTAATCTAACGGTACATAAGCGAATTCACACGGGAATGCGTCCATATAAGTGTAATCTCTGCCAGGCAGCATATGTGCAGCCGGGTGCTCTTCAAAGGCATAGAAGGGTTCACATGACCGATGAACGTCCCTTCAAGTGTGTTATCTGCCTGATGCCATTTCCCAAGAGCTCATATCTCAAGCGACACATGAATAGCCATACAGATGATCCCAATTTCCTAAAAAATATGGGCTTGAATCTTTGTTAAATATGTGCGAAATTCCTTAAGCTACAAACATATTTGTTCAATTTGAAAGATATCATTTATGGAACAACGCTGGATGAATACCTAAGTAAAATTTCAGATGAAGATATATATAAATTTGAGAAAATTGAAAATTACTTCAAAAATTAATATTTTGAAATATTTTTCGATATTTGTCAACTGTGTAAAATTCCTTAATGAAACTCACTAATTATCACATCCAAAAATGTTTTTGGGAAAAGATCTGCGAACATTTAAATAATTCATAAACATTTTAAATAGTTTTAATAAGTTTAGAATTGTTAAAAACGATCCTAAATATTTTTTTAATATGCAAAATTACTGTATGATCTGAGAGTTTGCATTTCATAACATGTTTAACTTAGGATCTTAAGTATTACAAATATTCATAAACAATTCGAAGTCTTTTAACAGTTTGTCTTTGCAAAGATGACAATTAGTGGTCCATAATTCAATTAAATGTTTAAAATATTTCTTCTGTGTGAAGTTTTTAGTAAATTCTCTAAAATGACGGCGTTCAGATTCTCTAAGATTTGAAGGCAAAGAAATTTCCGACTACATTTGACTGATTCATATAAAAAAGTTATAATTAACTACTACAAAATGTATTGAAAGGTTTTAAAAATCTGCAAAGTATCCAAAAGTTATTGAAGCCTAAAAAATGCCTAAATTTTAAATACGCTAAGTAGTATAAAAAATAATAATTTATACCTAAAATGATTAGCTTAATAATTTATTGTATATATAAAGCAAGGGTTGTCTTAAAAGTTTTTGAGCTAAAAAAATTATATTTATTAATACAATTATTTTTTATTTACATTATATTATTATTTATCTATTATATTACTGTCTGTCTTCTTTTAACATGTTATATTTACATATTTTCGAAACTACCCTCGCACATAGGTGTTGGCTATTTGTTTATATACAACCATTAATTTATCTGTGACTTAGTTTAGGAATAAAGCATATCATAATATACCGAAAATACAGTATGCATACTGGAAAATATATACACAATACATTTATTTCTGAATTGTTTTTCTAAGAAATTTCTTTCGGTCTGTGAAAATTGAATGGGAAAACTTTTTCTTTTGTCCTTAAACAAGTTTCCTGTATCTAAATAAACAAACATCAGATAGTAATTGAAATATCTGATTATATAGCTATATACACACTGGCTGGCGATTATATACACAATATATTTATTTCTACATTGCACTCAAAAGAAATTTCTTTGAGTTTGAGAAAGTTACGGGGGCGAACCTTTTTCTTTTGTCCTCAAACAAAGCAGTGCATCCTGTGTCTAAATAAGCAAAGATTAGATTGATAAAGAAACATTCGATCATACTGCTATTACATACAGTTTTAAACCAAGGTGTTGAAGGTTTATACGTGATTTGAAAGGCAAATGACATCTTGGAACGTGGAGCGATTCCATGCATGTGCAAATGCTCCACAGAGATTAATGGCGGATAATGGAAGCCAAAAATTGCGTCTTTTGTACTAATGCCTTTTGATGCGAAAAAGTCTTGCATTTCTTTCTCCATGTTGCGCACTAGAAAAAAAAAATATATATATATATGTATAAATGTTTAAATAAACACAATTAATAGGTGCATTTAATCTACGTACCCATAGTTATGTGTGATTCGTCGAGAACCATTAGACTATCGTAATGTTGTTTTGGCACGATAAGATAATGATTTGGCGCTGCCGGCTTTATATTTCTGAATATTACAAAACCTTCAGAGTCCGCTTCTAAAATTGTTTTACTTTTCCCCTTTGCAATGTCACAGAATACGCAACTTGGAGCGTCCATTTCGTTTGCCAAACTACATTTTGTCCACATAATGTAAACAACACTATCGGCACACCTATCGATGACATTGTGATTTCAAATTCATAACCGATATTTATCTATTGTATTAGAGATAGTTAAGTAAAACTTATCGATAGCTAACCTACTCTGTATTTTTAGTTTTCGCCCCAAACAACTGAAATTATTGACAAAATGCATAAAACAGACAGCTAGTCATTTGGTTGGCGCCACCTTTTTACTAATTTTTTCCAATTTCTATTATCCTTTTGCACAATAATATTTGTGAACTCTCTGACAAAAAAATTAAGTTCGATTAAAAAATTCTTTATATGTTTTTACCATGTACAATTAGTAGTCCATAGTTCCCTTAAATGTTTAAAATATTTTTTCTGTGTGAAGTTTTTAGCAAATTCTCTAAAATGACAGAGTTCAGATTTGAAGGCAAAGAAATTTCTGACTACATTTGACTGATTCATATAAAAACGGTTAAGATTAACTACAAGCAATGCATTGAACGGTTTTAAAAATCTGCAAAGTATCCAAAAATGATTGAAGCCTAAAAAAAGCCTAAATTTTAAATACGCTAAGTAATATAAAAAATAATAATTTATACGAAAAATTATTGCATGTATAAAATAAAACGGCAATATTTTTCAAGCTAACAAAAATTATATTTATTTAAACAATTAGTTTTTATTTACATTACATTATTATCTATTATATTACTGTCTACCTTCCTTTAACATGATAAATTTACATATTTTTTAAACTACTCTCGCATATAGGTGTTGGCTAATTGTTTATATACAATCATTTAATTTATCTTTGAATTAGTTTAGGAATAAAGCATATCATAATATACCGAAAATATAGTATGCACACTGGAAAATATATACACAATACATTTTTTTCTGAATTGTACTGCTAAAAAATTTCTTTTGGTCTGTGAAAATTAAATGGGAAAACTTTTTCTTTAATCCTTAAACAAGTTTCCTGTATCTAAATAAACAAACATCAGATAGTAATTGAAATATCTGGTTCTCTAGTTATATACATACTGCCGATTATATACATAATATATTTGTTTCTGAATTGCACTTAAAATAAATTTCTTTGAATTACGGGGGCGAACATTTTTCTTTTGTCCTCAAACAAGCCAGTGCATCCTCTGTCTAAATAAACAAACGTTTGATAGTTAAACAAATATCTTATTCGGCTATTACATACAGTTTTAAACCAAGGTGTTGAAGGCTTATACGTCATCTGAGAGACAAACGACATCTGGGAACGTGGAGCGATTCCATGCATGTGCAAATGCTTTACAGAGATGAATGGCGGATAATGGAAGCCGAAAATTGCGTCTTGTGTACTAATGCCTTTTGATACGAAAAATGCTTTTATTTCTTTCTCCATGTGCCTCACTAGAAAAAAATAGATATATGTATGAATGTGTAACTAAGTACACTTTATAGCTGCATTTAATCTACGTACCCATTGTTATGTGTGATTCGTCGAGAGTCTTTAGACTATCGTAATGTTGCTTTGGCACGATAAGGTAATGATTTGGCGCTGCCGGTTTTATGTCTCTGAATATTACAAATTCTTCGGACTCCGCTTCTAAAATTGTTTCACTTTTGCCTTTTACAATGTCACAGAATACGCAACTTGGACCGTCCATTTCGTTTGTCAATCTGAATTTTGTCCATACCATGGCTGTAAACAGCACTATCGGTAAGCCTATCGATGACATTGTGGTTTCAAATTCATTACCGATATTTAACTATTGTATTAGGGATAGTTTTACTTATCGATAGAAAGCCTACTCTGTGTTTTTAAATTTTATGCCAAGCAAGTGAAATTATTTACAAGATGAATTATACAGACATATATGCACTGCTAGTCATTTGGTTAGCACACCCTTTGTAGTAATTTGCATTTTTTTCTAATTTCAATTTTTTTTTGGTAATGATATCCTTGTATGTTAAATTGTTCGATTAAAAACCGTTATATTTTTATACTATGTTCAGGGTTCGTTAAAAAACTTGCAAGTTTAATTATGAATATCTCGCTGAATTTGCTAACCACAATTACCAAATTTGTTATGTAGGCTAAAAATTGATTTTCTTTGGGAAAAAATAGCAATGCGAAGATATTTAAGTTTATCTCTAGGGGAAAAAATTGATTCTTACTTTGACTTTCGACTATGTGAAATTCGCTAAAAAAAATTTAAAAACTATTATTTATTATGTTGGATATTACAAATTCTGTGGAAATACTTTATTATTATAAAATATGATAAGGAATGTCTAGGAATGGTTGGCCACGGTGTACGAGTCCCGAAAACAATTTGCTTCCCAATCAAATTTTCGAAGTCATTTCGAAAAGGGCGGGACCGACATAGATTTTTATGTTTTTTGTGGCTCACCAAAACAACACCCTGTATATGTTCTACTATAGTTGACCAGCCTGCAACAGCTGAGCGCCAAAGCTGCTCTCTCGCTCTCTTTTCAGCTGTGTGCCGCTCTGCGCTTTTGGCCTTTTTTTTAAGCCGCTTAAGCAGCAGCTGCGCTGCGCTGCTTTCGCACTGAGTCAGGTTTTAATGTTTGTTTTTGTTTTTGTAGCTCGCTGCTGGCGCGCTTGCTTGGCCGCTCGCTTTAGCCGCCTGTTATTTTGCCTCACAGTCTGAGTTTGGTACGTCGCGCGTTCGTAACGCGCGCGTTTATATTCATCGGCCCCGATTGCCGTCTGTTTTTTGGTCATTGTTTCTTTCGAAGAGTTTCGACGACGCTTGCTGCTTACTTTGCGGCTAATTATCAAATTAAACCAAGTGAAAAATGAGCAAAACTAAAAATCAAGCGGAATAATTGATAATATACATATTTAGGATAAATGTAAGAAATGTGATAACGGTTCATTAAATTGGCATAAATAATATGCTTAAATTGGAGCTTTGGAGTTTCGTTTGAATGTTTGAAAGAGAGCGAAGAGCGGTTTTGGTACTCGGAATTAGCTTAGCATTAGTTAAATTTTAAAGAGCATACATTCAGCTATGGAAAATCATTTTTACAAATGAGTTTTAATAAGTGAATCATAAATAAACTTATTTAAATATTAATGTACGATAAAGCAAATAATTAAAAAAATAACTATTGATTTTAAATAACAATAAAACGCATAATAATATTAATTATACAAAAATTACTATTATATCAAACCAATTTAAAAATTCTCTACTAAAAAAAATAATTTTCAAATATTACTTTCTGATTTATTAAAAAAAGGTTAACCGAATTGCAGCTTTTTATTAAATAACTAATAATAACAAAAAAAAACTAAAATATTCATAAAATAATAAAAGACAATGTAGGAAAAAAAATAATAATTATTATTATTATGATACTCAAAAAAAATAAGCAGAGAATAATTTAAAAAATTAAACGAATGTCATAATATATTTACTGTAATTCTTTTCCATCTTCCTAATCATTTTTGTTTCATAAAATTAAGAAAATGTAGAAAAATAAATTTACTAAATTAAAAAAAATTAACAACAAAAAATGAATAAAAGTAATAATATTAAATATATGGTAAAATAAAAATATTAAATATATATTTAATTGTCAAATGAATATAATTTATAACATAAAAAAAAAAAACAAAATTAAATAAAATCTTTTTCAATCAAATGAAATCAAAGGAAACAAGAGCTGATAAATATACGTATGAAATATTTTGCAGTTATTTAACAGGCATTCGAAAACTCTGTGGCATGATCATTTGCCGCCGCCCCTTCGCACACATGCTCAGAGCAGCCAAAACCACATATAGATATATTCAGAGACGCCTTTATAGACACAGCTATATACAGCAGCTTCAATCAACATTAGTTTCTTCAGCTCTCTGGCTAACCAAAATTGCCAACTTCCTGTTAAGTCGTGTGTCTGTCGAATGAGGCGCCGAGTCATTAGCTCCTCGTCATGCCCACTCAAAGTACCGCTATGCTAGCCGACTAGTCGATGTATCTCTATATATCTTTAGACACAAAGAGCGCAGCAAAGTGGGCAGCGAGGAGTGGCGCGGCAGGGGGCATGGCCGGGGCTAGACTGGGCACAGGTCTTGCAGATCCCGGCTGCTGTGGCCCCTTCACTTTTTTCTTTTTAGCAAAAAAGTTGGCGCAGCAAGTGCATTTCGCATTTCGCATTTCGTATTTCGCATTCCTCTGGCCGAAAGTCTGCTGCGGAGTTTTGCATCTCTTGCGTTTGCGACTGCGACTGCGACTGCGTCTGCGTCGCTTAACTGTAAATTGAGGCAAGCTAGTGTGTGCCCACTCTAACCCCCTGCGCTGACTCTCTCGCTTCGCCTCTCATCTCCTCGCTTGCTGCATTTCTTTTGTCGTCAAGTTCAATGTGCGTTGACAATTTTCCATTTGTAAATGGGCTGGCAACGGTTTTTCACTTTGATTTGTTTTTATTTTTCTTTTTTTCACTGCGTACTTTCACACACACACACGCACGCACACGAAGCGGAATATCCATTGTATTTGGGCAGCTGTGCGTGTATTTTAATTTATTTTAAATCGATCGGCAATACAAATCAATGAGTATATATATAGATAGATTTATATGTACGTATATATATCAGCTAATTTATCTGTGTTTCATTCAACCCGGAACTTTGATGCTTAATGTTAAAGATTCATCTTCAATTGTCGCTAGATGCTGGGCAAAAGAAAAATGAAAAACGAAAAATGATCCAAGGAAAAATCATCTGGCAAATCATGGATTGTTGTTTTATTTTTGTTTGTGAAAGCGCAAGTTGTTGTAATTTTTACACTTTTACCGCGGCTCACATACCTCTAGATACATAACAGCATAAGATACACAGATACATAGACTCAAAGATACATTGGCTGGCTTTCGTAAGCATCTTTTCACTATTACCAACGCAGTTTGTCGTGTTAAAGCCGCTTAATTGAAAGTCTTGACTTATGACTCGAGCTTTAAGTGTGCTCGTCTGTGTGGAAATGAGTTTTCCAGCATAGCTAGTTGCATGTAAAGTACGTGTGCTGCAAATTAAAGTGAAATTTAATATGCAGTCAATAAAGTAGATATATATATATATATATATATATAAATATAAATGCTGGCAAATTCCGAGATTTCAATCTTCGTCGATCTTTCTAACAAACTAAATCCTAAATATCAAATTTCATTCAGCAGTTGTGTGTGCGTGTGTGTGTGTCTTTATAACTACAGACATAAAGCAAATTTGGCATATGTAAAAATTTGAAAAATAAAAAATAAATAAAAAATAAAAACAATAAACAACAAATTTTGTTTATAAATTATCAAATGGTGCATTCGCATCCATTTTATTTTCATTGTGAATGTGAAAGTGGTGAAAAATCGCGGCTATATTTTCCATTAGAAGAAGCAGAAGAGACGACACAAAGCACAACGCAAGGCAAACAGCGAGCGGAAAGATAAAGGTAAAGCAAAGCACACAAAAATATATAAATAAATAATTGATATGTTTATACATATATATATAATTTGTAAGTCAAACGAAAGCTTCAACTATTCAGATTCTGATCTCAGATATTTAAGCCTACATATATATATATATATATATATATATATATATATGTATATATACATTGACAGCATCGGGCGCTATAGACACTGAGCTCATCTTGTCTTCCATGATCAGCTAGAAACTTGTTCGAGTCGCTCTCAAATGGGCAAATGACTCATTTTGACCATTTTGCGTTAACTGTTTCTAACGTTCTTAACGTTTTTTGTTTACCTTTTTCGTTTTCTTTCATTTGATTTCTGTTTTTTTATTTTTGCATATTTTGGTTATGCAGTTTTGGTCTGCTACGAATTTTTTATAAAAGACACGTTCCGTGATATGAACGCTTATATTTATGTGGGTTGATTCCGATTCTGTGTATTGCATATACCCTGTAAAAGTTGATAATAGGTATGACAAGTACAAAATTCACATAAGATCACGATTCTTTGTTATGATTGATTCATCTTAAGGAAATAATTCTTGGTTGTTTTATACACCCTGTAAAGCTAAATGTTACTCAAAGAGTTCATATAGCTATCATGCTTTAAGCTTTCCACATATTTAATTCACATACTTCTTCTACATATTTTGTTAAAGTGTTTATGGGGTATAATCATTTGTAGCTATAAAGTTCATTTATATCATATATGAAATTTGTGTTTTTTGCTTTTGCTCACCTATTTTTACACTAATTTTAATCGAGCACTCTCCATACATTTCATTTGGAGTTATGTGTAACACCAGTACAGGTCTTTAAATGAATATACTTTTGATTTCTGTGTACTCTTCATACCCTGTAAAACTAATTTTTTGGTCTGTCAGGCTGAAAACTCATTCATAAACCATTTTCTTTAACTAATTTAAAATGGCTTAGGTTAACTACTCTTATATCCTTAGCATACCATTTAATTTTTAATAGTGTGTGTCGTCTAGATGCCTCTTAAAATTGGATTGAGGATTAAGTAACTCATATTGAAATGCTTTCTAGTTTCAATCTGGTTTTGAACATAATACATACTCATATTAGTTTATTTTCAATCTCTCTTAATTTTTAGCTTTTCTCCTAATGTTTCTCTCTTTATATTCTGCAGGGCAGCTCATCGTCCATCAAATTTCTTTTGCTTGTATACATAAGTGGTTCTTGGTCAAGGTTTACCTTAAACTTATTTGAAATCAAATTTGCAATTCATTTAGAGATATTTTATAAGTTCCTGCAGGGTATCTCTTCGTTCAGCACCCTTCAAATATATTTAATTTACTTTCCACTTGGCTGCACATCTTTTACACAACTTGTCAGCGCTCAATGTCAAGGTTGTAGTCGCATTTTTAATATTTGTTTATAAACACACACACCACATATACAGACATTATGTATGTATTTGAGCTGTCCCGGCTTTTGGCTTTTACTGTGTAGTGGTGAGTAGGCCCGTCTGACTGCCTAACTGGCTTATTATTGCGGCCGCTAATTGCGGCTCAACACTTCTCGAGTGGAACGCCCCGAACGTTGTTTTGGCATTTTGTAATTGCTTCATTTTGGTTAAGTGCTGCGGCCAATTAATTGACGCTCACGCCTTAATTGCAAAAATTTGCTCAGATCAAGATAATCAGTGGAGGAGATGCGCATTCCTATTAACCGGACATCATATGCGTGTAAATTTTAATAATTATGAAAAGATCGATCAGAGTGGGTAGAATATATGTCTGGATAGCTTAGAGAGAGGGTACATACATAGAGAGAGGGTATGCTTGACTGATATAGGAAGAGTCTATGGAGTGTACTTGCATAGAGGTGGAGACTGGAGCTGCGAGTCTATCTTAACTGTCAGCTTATAGAGAAAGAGTACACATCTGAACAAAGTATATAGATGCAAAGATGAATGGATACATATTTGTATATAGATAGAGGGATATATCTTATATCGTAGAAGTTAATAGAGATTTATCAGAGCTGATGTGTAATGACTGATATTTAGATATATATAAGTTCGATATATATGAATAGACTATATAGTGATCTATCATAGCTGATTGATAGATTCATATTAATAGAGATATATATCTTATATCGTAGCTGTAAGAGTAACCTCTGGGACTATTTACACATAGATTATATGTTAATAATAGCTTATAATGGGGCATAGTATACATAATTTATATATAGAGTATATCTAACTTCTATCACTGCTAAAAATCAAGCCCACATTCTTCAACTTTCTGCTACTCTCATCTATTATCAAATAATACTGTGTCGATGTCTAGCTATCGAACATGACCCTGAGCCATGCCTAAAATCTCAATTATCATTAAAGATTAACGCGCTTCTTTCAGGGCTATGATTAGGCATTGATAATTGTGTCATCTGTTGATGAAAAACGCATTCATCACTTCGTCAGCTTTTAAGGCATTATCGAACATATATTAATTATTAACTCATTAGGGCGAAAAAGCATTTCAAATTTATTATTTTTTTCTTGAGCCGCAGGTCACGCATTTTTTAATACCGTTTCGAGATGTTCTTGTGAACCGTTAAAAATTTCACCTAGAGCGCAAAAGCGAGCCAAACCCGTCTTTCGTTCTGAAACTATAATAAATTTGACTTTTTAATGACAAAGAAACATTTTTATGCGTTTTTTATGTGTGAAAATGAAGCAGAAAGCACAAAAGAGAGCGCGCAGCTAAAGCAAACAGTCAAAAGGGCAAGGAATTGCTAGAAACAATACCCAAAGCTAGTGCCGGCAATGGAATACTCTATTCTATAGATGATATGATAGACGACTCGAGTGAAGTCGTGTGAACTAAGTAGAAAACTATGTGAAAAGCAAATGGAACTGAAGTCAGTCAGTTGACATTATTGTGACTCTTATGACTTACAACTTAGCAAACTTTCTTGAAAGCAAGTCTCAGCTGGAGCCAAAAGCCAGATCTATCTGCTGCCTTAAGTACACAGAGTTTCTCTATAGAAAGTAAATACAAATATAAATTATTTATATTCTAAAATACCCCAAAAGTTTATGTACACTTGGCATAACCAAAACTGAAATCAAGTTAAGCTTGAGCTATAAAAAAGTTAAGGCAATTTCAAGTTTTATATATGTAAAAATCTATATGCAAATAAATATATATCTCTTAAAGGTTGCTATACATAAATAAAATAAAAATATATACGAAAGCTAAAACATAAATATTTATAAATATATCTCTATATATATAGAGAATTTTTTATACAATTGGAGTAATGATATATGAAAGCCCTTTAACTTAGCCATAAAAAAGTTACATCTAGACTACAAATAAAATTTTTGCACATTAGTTTTAGTCATATAAATATATAAGTAGAATTCTAACGAGCTTAAGGTCCGGATGTTATAACTCTACTCACGAAACTTAGAGCTTCATTTGTAATAAACTATAAGCTATAAAAATACATATATCAAAGCCAATTCCGAAGCTAATAGAATAGAGATATTGGAATAAAAAAACGAGCCTCTTTCATGGAAAGCTTATATAACTTTAAACAGAAATTTATTTATGTGTAAAAAATATTTTTTTTATTTTTAAAATCTACACAGTTATTGAAAGATATAGATATCTCAAAGTATATTTTCAGACTACATTTATATATATTCTCTAACCATATTTCTGGACATATTTTTAGAAAATTAGCGTAGTTTTTTCTCACATAGTTCCCTATAGCATAACAAACTATAAATACCTTTTTGGTAAGTGTATGGAAAAAGAAGACATTAGATGCAGTTAGACAGAAAAGTGTAAATGAGCAGGAGGAAAGCAGCTGGTATAAATGTACAAAGGTATAAAGTTAATATAATACGTAATTATAAACGGCTGCGGGCTGCGGGCTATGTACTGACTGACTGCCATTCAGTGGCTGGGTGTCGGGCAGAAGTAGTTAGTATGAGTACGCGTTGTACGAGTTAGTCTCTCGGATCATGACATAGAGAAATGCGCGGATGACAGCGTGTAAATAATAGCCAAAGGGGTGTTTGAAGAAACTAAAACCAAAACCAAAACCAAAACCCAAGCCAACTACTGTTGAACAACAAGTGTAGAACCCATCAGCAGGCCACAAAAGAAAAGCCGTACCGGACTACTGTACGGCGGGGTCAATGAACTTGGCGCCACAGCAGAACAAAAAAAACCTAGACAGCACAAAGCCACAGATTGATGATGTTCTCTAAATGTGTCATATTTCTTGACAGTGGCACATATATTGCCAGAGATTGGCACAAGTTAATGGTTAAAAAAAAAAAGAAAACAGTTTGTTTTACTAATTTAGTTGTTTAGCTTTGTTATAAAAATTATTTATGTGAATTGTCTGTGGAGACAACAGTTTTATAGACCTTAAGTGTTAGCAGGTTAAAAATTAAGTATATTTAGAATTTATGTCTGCATATATATTTTTTATTTCTTACTAATATTTCACACATTTTATTAGTTGTCCTTTATAAACAGTAAAACATAATTGTCTAGCAACATAATTTCTCTTTAAAAAGTCACGTTTTAGCTCTACTACCTAATTAAGGAGAATAAGAAAGTATGATTTAGCAGCTGGGAAAGATACGCTACTTACAGTGAACTTGTATTGAAATTTATTAAATATAATTTGGATAATTGTTTAATATTAAAAATAATTTTTTTCATATTTTTTTATTATTTTCATAGTTCTTAGCTTTGAGCAAGTATTTGTTTACGGTGAACTTATAAATTAATAATAATAAGTTAAATAAGTTGAGGCTTGAATTTCAAGCGGGCAGTTCTTCTAGTAGTATGTGATATTTATGATATATACCTATTCATATAGAGTTGTACATGCTGATTAAGTACAAATTATATTCACCATAAAGTGGCTTTAAAATTTCCACTAAGCATTTAGCTCTGCTTCATGCAATGAATCTTCAATAATTGGCAAATATCTTCGTTTGTTAATAGCTTTGCTGTATTTAGCAAACATGTGTTGTAATCAATTTAAGCACTTCTTAGAGAGACGAATGCAAAATAAAAAACTTATGTGTATGCAAAATTTTTTGTTGGCTTCGATTTGGTGCCTTTGGGCAAACTCGTTGCAATTGGCTAAAAACGGTGTTAATAACGCAAAAACAGTTGCGTTTAAAGCATATGCCGTTTTGTTGTTGCTGCTGTGGCGTAGAGACCAAGCAGCGGGCTGTGCAATCAGCTCTAAACTGCAAACTGCAACTTCAGTCGGCAACCGGCAAAAGCAGCAACAACAACAACACAAGGCGACCGCCTGTTAGCCGCTTGTCTAACTATTTTAACCCAGTTTCGCGCTATGGCCACATTCTTGTAGGAGCGCAAACCATAAACAAGTTTCAGTCAAGCAAAAACAATAATAGCAACAACAAATAGCTTACTGCTGCTGCCAACAACAACAGCAGCAGCAGCAAACAAAATGTGTGCAAATTGAAATTGCAGCCAAAGAAAAGGCCAACTGCAAGTGCGCAACAAGCAGAAAAGCCTAAAAAACGAAATAGATAAGTAAGAGTGCTTTAGATGGCATTACAGGAGTATCCGATACCCTGTAAACTTAAAATATAAATAGTATATATGTGAGATAAGCAAGTTAAATTTGTTCATAGTAGATGTGGCTGAAAACTTATTACAAACGAGCGACATAGGCGGGAGTGAACGTGTAGCAAATACCCTGTACACATAATATATGAATTGAAGCTATGAAGTAGAAGATTAATCAGTTTTTAAAAGATATATTTTATACTATATACATATAATGTGAGGGAGAATATATTTTATACTATATACATATAATGTGAGGGAGAATAGACTGTGCACAGGCTATGAAGATAATCTTGGCCTATATAAGTTGAGCGTCTTATAAAAGCAGAGATATACTCTGTATATAGCACATATAAATGAGAGTTTTGAAGGAAAGGTAAGAAATTGGTTTTAAAGGAAGTTATTCTACAACTTTTTGTTCACACAGAGAGAAAAACTAGCTGTACAGGGTATCCTATGGAATTGAATTATGACAGGAAGGTGATACTATTGGTTTATAGCACATATGCCACAACAATTATCACAAAGAAGTGCAGTAGACGGAAGTAACAGACTAATAAATGCTCTGTAAGCATAAGAGAAATATATGAGAAATTAAATTAAATTCTTGACGGCAATGCAAGACTAAGAAATACCCGGTAATACATAAGTTACATTTGAGAATAAGAAACAAAGGTTTCGAATTCGTTCTATATTAGATCTCATTGATTTTATATACATTTGAATGACATCAGCAACAAGAGTAAATATTTTTTCCAATTTTCTTTTCTTTCTTTACAAGAGTAAATATTTTTTCCAATTTTCTTTTCTTTCTTTACAAGAGTAAATATTTTTTCCAATTTTCTTTTCTTTCTTTTCTTCTGTCTTTACAACTTTCAATCAGTACATCAGCCTAAGTCTTAGCCAATCTGCCTTAGAATAAACCGACTCAATTAACACTAACATTCTATGCTTAAAGTACTTTAATTATTTTCAATCAACTTAAGTTTTAGCTAACTTAAGTCTCTTGCCGTTTTCAATGCGTCTTCAAATAGCCTCTCTCCGTAGCTTCACCCTGGCACCACTTTCTTCCGCCTGTCACAAATGCATATTAACTCACATTATGCCTCACGACAATTTTTAATGAGTGCAGCTTACATACAACAGCCAGCCTTAGTTAAGCCTATTGTCGGCCCTTTTTGCCAACTTGAACAGGTATAAGCGCGTTCATTTATTGCACTTAAATGCGGGTCAATAGGGATTTACGGTTAGGCGTGCGACCGTTTCGTGCGCTAAGTAGCTACGGAAATGTGGTGCCTGTTAATGAGAGCGCCAACCGATTAGTTTGCCCCGCCGCTTCTGCCCCCTTGCCACTGGAGATATGTGGCATGAATGGACACATTGAGTGGGTCAGGCGGCGGCGACAAACAATGGGTATGGCAAATGCGAATGGGAACAACAATGAGTTACAGTCCAAAGCTGGCAAACAGTTATGGCAATCATCAGCTGGCCAGTGAATCCATTGTGTTCGCTTGCAGCTAATTTGGCGCGTCCAACTTAGAGAGCAGTACGTTCTAAGCTGACCACGATGACGCGGAGAATGCGACGCTTAACTGTATTTGGATACGGACCATTGAGGTGCATTTCCTTGTGGTACACCCTTTCTATGGGATTCTCATGGTTAAGAGCAAAGCTGTTGTCCGTGTCATTTCAATTGGAATACCTTTCTCTGTGAAAAATTTCATGCATTTCCTTGCCATCTAAAAGTGGGAAAGCCTTTTCTGTGATTCTCTCTTATATGTACTTAGCTTAAGTTTCCTTATGACATTTATCTTTAAACATTAATGTGTAATACCTTTCTCTGTGATTTTCATGATTATACGTATTTGTATATTTACATAATTCGAGTTTAATTTTGAGCTCAGACGCGCCCATGCTATGCCATTAGTACAACTGATGTATATTTGGTCTTCATTTTAAATGTGAAATGCCCTTCTAAGTGCTTCTCACGTTTGTGTATGCAACTAAATGTTCATTTTCTTTCCATCATTAACACAGGAATGGTAACAAACAACAGTATTTTCTTATGTAATAAAAATTTATAATTTTTTTCATTAGGAATGGCCTCTGTGATTCTCATAACTATGAGTGGTATGAGTTCTGTAATAGTAATAATTGCGGATACAAATAATATGCAATTCGAGGTCATATTTAATGAAAAAATGCCCTTCTATGCGATTCTCATGACGAAAAGTATTTTTATATACAACTGATATATGTTTGCGGTATTAGAGCTTTCAAAAAATTAAACTTTAATTATAATATAATCAAAAATATCGAAATATCGAACTGTTCTGAATGTTCATGAAAGGAAAATAGACGAAAAATATAATAAAATTATTATTAGAAGTATTCTCTAACCTTCGCGAGACCGGAACCGCATTAAGTTAAACTATAAATACACAATTTGTACTAAGATAATTATGAGCAATTCACGATCAATTTTGGCTCCAGGGCTAAATGTTTTTTAACTTCAAAAATTTTCGCAAAAATCATAATAAATCTTGCCAAAATTTTCCACTTCCCTGGAACGCTGCTGAACCACGGCGCATTTGCACAAAATAAGAGACGAGAAGCCCTACAAGAGCCTAACCGAAACTTGTCTTGTGTATGGTCAGTAACTTACTCGCATTCGCACTATACGTAATCGTATATTGTTTGGATCGTAACTGACAAAAAAAGGGGTTGGTGGAGCGCTACAACTACTTGGTATGCCCGGTGCGAGAGTCGACGCTCAATTTTCAATTGGTTTGGTGGCTTATTAATTACCTCACCGCACGGTTGCGTGTGGCGCATACAAAAGGCGCCCAGCTCACAACAACTGACAAAAGAGCGAAGCAGACCCGAACCGGGCCAAATAGAACCCACAAAAGGCGTTGGACGCGTCGCGTCGCTCCACCTCGGGTAATACGAGAACCGTAAATGGAGCGGCATAGATGTCAATGCGCTTCACAAGTCTCTGACCAAAGCAACATACCTAAACAGTTACATTTTTTTAAGTATACATATATATACAATATATATATATATATTTACATATTTATTTTTGTTGCTTTTTCATGTTATTTACTATTTTTGCTTTCTGTGCAGCTTTGGCGAACATAAACAAATAAAGAGTTGAAAAAATGAGAGTGATTTTTGCTGTTGTTGCTTTTGTTATTTCTCAATTGGCAAACTAGTTTTCGTCTTTTTATATTTTTCGACTTTGCTGTTATTATTGTTGCTATTTTGCATATTTTTCTTCAAGTGTCATTCGTTGTTGCTATTTCTGTTGCTGCTTACTTTCAAATGTCAAACGAAGTTGAAGGTGGCCCGGTCTGCATATATAGACTGAAATATTTGTATATATGATTTATATTGAGTCATGTTTTTGATGCTGCCAAACGAATGACTTGGACAGCGAACTTGACTCGGACAGCTTTTGAGTCGCACTTTGTCTATTTAACTTTGTGTGGGAATTAATTATATCAAACCAGTTGATGCATACTATATACAAATTTTAATAGATTTGTTAAGAAACTAAACGCTAAATTTAAATGAAGGCTAAAATAAACTTAATAAATTAAAAATAATTAAGATTTTTTATATTTGATTATACATATATTTACTAATAATTATAATATAGTATTCATATTTTAGAATTTTCTTAAAAGATTTGTGTTTCTAAATTATTATTTTTAAATAAAATAAAAAATATATAATTATATAATAATTCTTTAAACTTTAAATAGAAAATAAAAAATTATATTCATATTCTTAAACTAAAAAACTTGTAGTATTTATTATTTTTAAAATTTATTTGTTTCTATATATATAATAATTGATATAATTTTGAATTATTTTACAAATATATACAATTTAAAGGAATTCTTAAAATATAATACTTATACGTCATACAAAAAAATGCTAAATTATACTTCTTTATAATTTCTTTATGGTGCTGAAGTATATCAAATTTTGATTTAAAAACTAATAATTATTTACTTCAATATCAGAAGAACTGTGTTTTAAAACAAGACAGAAAATTATCAAAAAATATTTTAGTTTTTAGGCAATTTTAAAATAATAGAATTAACTATAAAACTATAATTATAATTAACTATAATTTATATACTTAAATCACTTTGCTTATATTTTATTAGTGATTCTCCACCATTGCAAAAAATGTACTTTGCTATTTAAAGTTTGTTTAATACTTTTTTAATAGTTTAAGCATATATCTTTAATTATTTTAGTCTAATATGTTAAGCGCACGCATGGCTCGCCGCGAATGCCGACTTTACGATTCAATTTAATTAAAATGCAATGCACGATGCGCAAAACTCATTAACAAATGGCAAACAACGCCATAAACAATTTCGTGTCATAAACAAAATCGTGCCATACTCAAAATAGTTGCTGAAAATAAAAATGTTGAAGTGAAACTTAATGAAGCCTGAGAAAGTTGCAACAAGTGCCGGCTTGAGCCCAGCTGAGCGCAGCTCAAGTGACAATCAAAATTTGACTTACAACATTAAAGAAATGCAAGAAGAAAGGGGGAAACTGCAGCTAACTAGCAAATAAATTGCAAGCAGCAACAAAAATGCGATAATTGCTAACAAATTTGTCGGACACAACGCATGGCAGACATGCAACAAATGCAGCAAGAATAACATGTCTACTGAGACGGCCTTAATGCATGTCCGTCTGTCGCGTTGATTGTTCATTTGCAGACATAAGCGCGCAGCGTCCACTTGTTCTTTGGCTGCATCTCTGTGCGCTGACCCAGTTTGTGGCAAGTGGAACACACAGCACAAAGCGCACAGCGCACATCTCACACAGCTCACTGTTGCAAGGTGGCCATAAATAGCCGGGCGATGATTTCTAGAGACCAACGAGACTCTTCCACTCAAGTTACAGGTTTCTTGCTCAAGTCTTTCTCAATGGGCGACTCAAGTTTGTTGCCTAAGTCTTTCGTTCTGAAAGAGAAACGTCAGCCAGCGAGACTTCAAGAGCAGCTTGACTCTCGCAGCAAAACGAGTTTTTCTGTCTGTTCATTTGTTGCTGTTGTTGTTATTGCTTTGCTTTTTGGGATGCTGCAGAACTTTCTTCCATTGATTCTAGCGGAACGCATATAAATAACAAATTAAGACTTTCTTTCTGCAAAAGCTAGAGCCCCTTCTATACTCTATAGAAGCTGTCCGTTCGTGGTTTTGTCTCATCATCCATTGAATTGTTTCTTATTTATTTAGAAGCGAGAGCTGGCTGGCCAGACGCTTTGCTCCTAACCCAAATAATACGCTCTTTCACCTGGACTACCTGGTCGCCGTATGTGTGTGTGTGTAAGTCTGTGCACCTTGTGTCATTTGCTGTTGTTCGCTTTGGTTTCGGTTGTAGCTTGAGCCCTTGTTGTTGGCTAAACAAGACAAGAGATTATCAGCAGCAGCAGCAGCTGCTGCTCTTGGCCTAAACAATTTACATGCGTGTCTGGCAGGGCTTCCCCGCACTTAGCTTTTAGGGCGTGCATATTATATATACACATATATATCTTATTCTTCTTTTTTTCGATTATCTGTGGCTTCATTAGTTTGACCCAATTTTCGATTTGTACTGCGTTCTTTTTACTTTCTATTTTCTCTTAACGATCTCTAGAATTTTTTCTTCTTTTTTTTTTGATAGCTGTCTTGTTAGCATTTTGATTATTTTTTAATTTCACAAGAGGGCGTTTGCTGTTAATTTACTTTCATTTGGGAAAAAAAAAACCTTTAACTTCTTCTTTTAATGTTTCCGTATGGGAATTTTGTTTGCATTTCTTTGATTTGCTGGGGCGTTGCCTTTGGAGCTTCCGTTTTTTTTTTCGAGCTTCACTGGAGAGCTGCGAGTGAGTGTTGTATGAAACTAGCTTATGGAAATAGAAGTAAAGAAAAAAAGCACTAAGTAGACTAATCAGAGATTTAAATATACTTGGCTATAGAGAGCCACAAATTTGACTGATGGGAATCATAGTGCAGCATGAGTTGCAGTCACGTTTTTTTGTTTACTTTACTTCGACTTGAATCTCTCTCCATCTCTCTCTCTCTCTCTCTCTCTATATATATATATATATATATATATATTTATTTATATTATAAATACTTTAAAATATATAATTATGAATGTATTATTATTATTAATAATAATAAGAATGCATTTATTATAATATATTTTAAAGTATATATTTAAGTTTATTTGTTATTTTAAAATATTTTCTTTTTTATTATTAGTTATATTTCATTCTTACTTCTTTTCTATTTTGCAGGTGAGTCTCAAAAGTGAAACCCTTTAAGCTTATGCCAAATTTCAATTTATGTAAGTATATTACGTATATTTATAATAAGAAAAGTACCTATAATAAAATGAGTGAATTTTTCTAAATAACTTTATGTGAGATTTAATAAGAAATATTTCTATAAATTAAGTATTGAATTGATATTGGTGTTATACCAATTATATTGGAGTTACCAATCCAAAGACTAAGGCTGTAAAGCTATGGAAAAGACAAGTTAAAAAGTATTGAAGAGAGTTGTGGATCTTTGTCTAGAACTGATAATGATCTATCTATATAATTAGTTTCAGATCATTTATTTTTAATAATTTATATAATTAAGACAAATATATTAAATGAATAATTAATATAATAATTAAGAATTGAAATTACTAATTTAAGCTTGGGATATATTGTTCATTATCTATGCAGTTTTCAGAGTAGATAATATAATCCATAGATACAATATCTCTCACCCAGTATTAGTCTAAATTAAATCTAAATATTTAATTCAATTTATTATTAAAACTAAATCGTTTAGCATCTGTTGATGATAGTGGCTTAAACTGTTGAGGTTTTGTTTGCTAGCTAGAGTTACTTTCTGTTTTGGGTCAACGTAATCGAAATGATGTACGATCATTATGAAGTTTTGTAGTGGGTCAGACGAATTTCAATCGAACTCTCAATAAAGTTATAAATCTTGCGAAACCAACCTATTTCTGCTCTGAAAACTGAAGCAAAAAAAGTTAGAAAGCTGAAAAAAAGCGATTAACATAAACTTTTGATATGAACCGAAAGCGAACCACTTGGAGCTGTCAACACTGGATTTTTGCTGCGATCGTAAACAGCTTAATTGACAAATGGGTCTACGATTTTATGCCATTGCCAATTGGGTCAGGTAATGTCCGAGGGCTGTTAAGAGGATCCAAAAGCTTATTTGCTAAATATGCTAAAATATAGATGATAAAAAATTTGTGATTGGCACTTTAACAGCATCATTAAGAACGAATATGAATGGCATATAAATATATATGTGCTTGGCCATAGCCTATAAGAACCGTTAGATTTTCTGCGTTTGCAAACAGTTGACTTCAAGCTCGCGGTTCGTGCGGTGCTCAAGATGAAATCCATACCGAATATCTTGCTCTGTCTGCTCAGCTTCTGCTGCTGCCTCTGTGGTCTGGCTCTCGGCTATGCCTATCCGCCACCATTTGGTGGTTATATTTATAACAAGCCAGCACAGCAGCCGGCTTTGCTGGCGAATAGCTCTGCACCGCCTGGCGCCCAAGCGGATTACATCGATGATCTAATCGAGCAGCAAAAGCTACAAATCTTGTCAAACGTTCTAGGCTCCACCCCCCCAGCCTCAGCTGCTGCTCCATCCAGCGAACCTGCCAGCCTCTTGCCATTTGACAGCGATGCAAAGGGCTTTCGTGTCAATCGTTGCGCCAATTGCTGTGAGTATCCGAGAGATTCTACTCGGTCTATGCCTCGTCTATCCAAATGTTCCTCTTCCTTGCAGCCTGTGGCGTGCCCAATGCCGATCGCATTGTGGGCGGCACTCAGGTGCAATCCAACAAATATCCATGGATAGCTCAGATGCTACTCGGCTCAGTTCTCTTTTGCGGCGGCACTTTGATCAATGATCGCTATGTGCTGACCGCTGCGCATTGTGTTATTGACATGGACATGTCGGCTGTGTCGGTGCGTCTGCTCCAACTGAATCGCAGCTCTGCGAATCAGGGCATAACGCGCGGAGTGGTTTTTGCGCATGCCCATGCGGGTTATAATCCGTCTACTCTGGTACATGACATTGCGCTGCTACGTCTGGATGAGCCCGTGCCGCTGGTGAAAGGGATGCGTCCCGTGTGCCTGCCCAGCACTCAATTTCAGACCTTTGACTACCAAAAGGCAATTGTTGCCGGCTGGGGACTGAGCTATGAGGGCGGCACTACTTCGAACGTGCTGCAGGAGACCACTGTGCCCATCATCACGAATGCTCAGTGTCGAGCCACCTCCTACAAGACGATGATCGTGGACACAATGCTGTGTGCGGGCTTTGTGCAGACAGGTGGTCGGGATGCCTGCCAGGTGGGCTACAGAGCTTAGATTTCACTTGAGTTTGTTTTTATCTTGGTTGCATCTCTGTTCCATCTTATGCCTTGCAGGGCGACAGTGGAGGTCCACTCATAGTTCCGGATCGCATCTTCCGTTTAGCTGGCGTTGTTTCATTTGGCTATGGCTGTGCCAATCCAAATGCACCTGGGGTATATACAAGAGTCAGCAGATATTTGAATTGGATTGCCGCGAATACCAGAGACTCCTGCTATTGTAATAAATAATTACATCTTGAGCTATTGGGTTTCTCTTAAGTTTTAAAGTTTATATAATATATATTCGATAGACTTTTCTCATTCTTATTCTGACTGGCATTAAATACGTTTTATATATATTAATCTGATTTTCATTCTTATTCTGATTGGCATTGAACAAGCTTTCCTTATCATTATCATTATCCTTATCCTTTTCCTTATCCTTATCATTATCCTTATCCGTATCCTTATCCTTATCCTTATCCTTATTCTTATCCTTATTCTTATCCTTATTCTTTTCCTTATCCTTATCCTTATCCTTATCCTTATCCTTATCCTTATCCTTATCCTTATCCTTATCCTTATCCTTATCCTTATCCTTATCCTTATCCTTATCCTTATTCTTATCCTTATCCTTATCCTTATCCTTATCCTTATCCTTATCCTTATCCTTATCCTTATCCTTATCCTTATCCTTATCCTTATCCTTATCCTTATCCTTATCCTTATCCTTATCCTTATCCTTATCCTTATCCTTATCCTTATCCTTATCCTTATTCTTATCCTTATCCTTATCCTTATCCTTATCCTTATCCTTATCCTTATCCTTATCCTTATCCTTATCCTTATCCTTATCCTTATCCTTATCCTTATCCTTATCCTTATCCTTATCCTTATCCTTATCCTTATCCTTATCCTTATCCTTATCCTTATCCTTATCCTTATCCTTATCCTTATCCTTATCCTTATCCTCATTCCTTGACCTCTTATAGTTAGCTGACAGCCTTGAGGACGACCTTAGCGCTAATGCACATACTGAACGAAGTGATCCAAAATTGGATCTAAGCCAAAGAGTTGGTTTGGATCATATGCGAATCCCTACATAATGATTTGAAAGTATATTAAAAATAAGCACACTTACAAAATTTTTTCTTTTTACTATATGTACTATGGAAAGTACTCACGTTCATCCTTAACCTTAGCCCTCGGCACTTGTTCGCTCTTCTGCCAACTGCGCCAATGCGAATTTTGTTTTGGCTACTATCACCCCCAACTGGGTTAGCAGAAAATACTTTCATAAAGTATTATTTTTTATCTTTTACCTTTTATTATTTTTTTATTGTGGAAACAGGTTATCGTTGGATTTCGACAAGTCAATGAGGTATACGAACTGGCCTTTCACTTTTTCGTGCACATGCTGAAAAGTCAATAAGGCAGAAAAACTTGGCGAAAAAATATGCAGTTAGCCCGTGACGGTCCATTTTTGGCATTGTCATCGCTGGGCAAAATGGAAGCCAAGGACAACGCCTCGACTTGACTCGACTGGGGTATCGCTGACACATTGTTATCAGTTGTCGGCGCAGGTTTTCGCGATCGGGGCCAGTTGACAAAAGTTTATCTTTATCCCTGCCTATGGCGGCAGCTCATGCCAGGCAGGCAATGTCGCCTTGCAGCGATTTAATGGATTTTCAAGTTATTTCTGGTATTTTGTTGTAGTTCACCGCAACAGCAGCGGCAGCAACAACTACAGCAGCAACTGCAGCGCAAACAAAGATATCTCGCAAACTCGTTTCTTGCCTACGGCCAAAGAAAATGCCGCATAATTGCCGCGACGTCGCGACGTCGAAGTCGAAGTCGAAGTTGGGGTCGAGTAAGGGGAGCAGCGCGGATCTGCGGGGCATGTTGGCCAAATCGACAATGTTGTCAATGCAGCCGCTTTGGCATTTGATTTTATTTTTAACTAGACTGCAAATGAGGCAACGCATTGTAAGTAGTCGCGTAGGGTGCGGAGTTGGGGGCATTGAAAAGGCGCACTGCAGATTTAGCACTGCAATTAACATTTTTATCTGGAACTTTGTTAAGCGGGCAAAGAGAATTATGAAAGCAATAGCAACAAATTCCATTTAGATATGCAGCTTAACATATTTATAAATGTTTTGCTTTGGTATGAGATCATTACTAGTTGGCTTTACTTTATCGTATACTTAATGACGAATATTTTCAAATGCATTAATATATAAACTGATCAAATATATTGCATATATAAGTAGACAAATTTAAAAGAGAGTGAGACTAGAAGAGAATAAGTCATGTAGCATGTAAGTCTAATAATTACAATATATTTGTTTGCCTATGTTCTTTTACCCTGAACTGATTGAAAATATTAGTTCAGGCAGTTCAAAACGATGAGCTAAGCCCATGATGAGCTGAGTTTATCTCTCAAAAAATTAAGGTCTTTCCTCTTTTCTAACCTGAACCCATTGAAAATGTTAAATACTAAAAATATTGGTTTTATCTAGAAAGTTTCATAAAGAGAGTCCAGAAGAGTTATTCAACAAATTAATTCCCATAGTAAAGCCCAAGCTGCAGGTCAAACGCAGCCCTACGTAGTAAGCAGAGCGCGCGCTTATGTATGCGTGCGGATACGTATGTGCATGTGTTGCTTGTAATGTATGCATAAAACTAGGACATCTCATAGTCGAGCCGTCTTGACTGGAGCACTCTTGTTTAATTGCTCAAAGTGAAGCTGGTCAATGTATTTGTCAGTCGAGCACTACCAACTGAAATCTTACAAGTTTTTTTTTCTTATGCCAAGCCTCTGCTGTTGCTCTTATGTACAGTCTTAGCGGATTCTGTTGTGCAAGAAGTCATTTTATATTTACAAATTATTCTTAATTCTTGAACTGTCCAAGGCCGTCAACCAGAAATTCTCACGTTTCAACTGACGTATGTGATTTAAAAAAAAAACAAAAAGCAATTACAGACACCTGAAGAGATAAGGGAAAATACATATATAGATATTTAAATTGGTATTCACATAAGCACTAGATATTGCATTTATATGTCGCTCTGTTCATCTAGAAAAGGGTTGGCACGTCTTATATGAATTTTATGATTTTATATGATTTTATTCTCAACTTTGAACTTAGTACCCCAAGTCCTCATATGTAGCCCCTTCTGCGCAGCGCCCAATTCAGTCGTTCAATGGATTTGATTACAGATTGCAATTCTCGCTGGATATTCGCATTCTCCATAATCTTTTCGACACAGCGTTCCCATTCGCAATTCGTCAGCCGCAAGCTGTATGGCACCAGGGCGCCAACGATGCGATTGATTGGCCGGAGGAAGTCCATTTCTTGGTCCACATCGTGGCGCAATAGCTTCAGGCAGCTCCACCATTCGAGGCTTTGCTCAAGCAGGCGATAAAGTGCTCGATAGGGCGTGGAACTGGAGAAGCGCATGACGGCTGCGAAGTGTGGGCGTCCTTGCTGCATTCGACATTTGGCTAGCATGAGGCGCGCTTCCGCCGTTTGCTTCTCCAGCTGCAGCTGCAGACTTATCCGATCCTCGATTAGTTCCAGCATGCGCAGATGCAGGACATCCATTAGGCAGCCAGTCTCCTCGGCAATCGTTTGCGTTGTCGTTGTTGTTGTTGTTGTTGTCTTACTTATGTTGGTCCTTTTCTTTGTTTGATTTCTTTTGTGTTTCTGAGATTTGCTCATTCCGTTGATTCGCTTTGATTTATTGGCATTGACTTGACAAGTGCTTTCAATACTACCAATCGTTGTAAATGTGCCCACTGCACTACACTCCTCTGGCATAAAACTGCTCGCTATACTCATCCTAGTCTCTATTTTCCGTTGAACAAAATTTTAAATAAAAACAGTGCTGTTTTCATTGAGTAAAATCTCGACGATTGTAAATATCTGTTAATAATGTTTTTGGGTTTTACACTTTTGAATTCAGAATATATTTTACTAACAAACAACCTGCTTGTCCTTATCAAAAGCAACTCAAGAAGCATAGAAGAATTATATTATTAATAATTATTTATACCAAAGAAATATAAAATATCTTAATGTGATTTGCAAAAACCTAAAATATCTTGGAGATATTTTAGAACAATGAGTTATATACTTAATCAGAGTGCAAAAATATCTTCTTCAATTAAACTTCTCTTGTTAAATTTGTAATGAGAATTTCTAAAAAATATTTGAAATGATTTCTATAACCAAGAATTAGACCTGCTTTTGCAGGGCTTTTGACAGTGCTGAAATTGAATCTGTAAGCAGCATAAATATATCAAAATGTTCCACTTAATTTTAGTTAATATAAAAAAGAGAGGACTAGGAGTATAACAATAGCTTTAACTTGATGGAACATACTTCAGAAATTTTAGACTTAACCCGAAAATCCGGACCCGAACGGTTGACGTCATCTTGAATGAAGATTTTGCCTTTAGGGAAAGGTGTGATACATGATATATATTCTTCTCTATTTACTTAACATTATCATACAATGTCTCTCCCTCAACTGTCTATCTCTCTCCGCCCTTCTTTACCTCTCTTAATATGAATAATAATCGATCATTTGATTTAGTTTTTCAAGCGTAAGGCGTTCATTGTATAACTGTTTTTGTGCCCTGTTTTTTTCATTCATTCTTTTATCTAAAAATTGCTATTGGTTTATCATGAATACACGAATCTTTGACTATATATATGCACACATCTATAGTTCACCTGAATTGCTAAAAATTCAAAGCACTTTTTGTTAAACTGGTTCTTTTGTTCGTGTGACCCTCATCTTTGGCAGATTTGTTGCTTGTGCAGTTTTTGTTAGCCTTTTTTTTGGAAGGCGTCTCTGGGCCACGCTTCGTTTGGCATTTTAGCATATTTCTCACATAAATCGCTGGCGACTTGGGTAGAGAAATTTTCACGCCTTGCTGACCATTGGACAAGACGCCAAGGCGAAGGCCTGCTCTTTAATCAAAATTGTATATAAACTTATGCCAAATAGTGCTTAATGCAGCGCCTGGTCTCCCTCTCTGTCTCTCAATCTCTATTGCTCATGGCGAAACCGCAAACATTTTAATAAATTGCCAGTTATTAGTTGTCGGCAGCAGGAAAAAGTGCAATTAAAATGCATTCGAGCAGGGCGAAGGGGAACGGAAGTTTGAGGCAAAACAAATTAGCATTAACATTGACTTGGTGCAAAAGAGACAAAGCGTTGCGGGCCAAAAGCAGAGCAAAAACTTAGCGAGTTAGTTTCCCATAATTTGTGTAAAGCTGCGCACATAATGAGCAGCAAAGGAGAGAGCAAGTGAAAAGGGGGAGAGTGCGAGGTGTGTAGAGTGCAGAGTGGAGAGGAGGAAGTCAGGTGTGGAGAGTTGCGGATGGTCACTTGCATAGCAAATGGTGTGAAATTTTTGCATTGTGTCGACAAAGCAGTGGAAAGCAGTGCAGCAACTGTTGCCTTTAGCGTTAAGAAGCGAGTAACTGAGAGGGGCAGATAGTGTTGTTGCTGCTACTGGTGCACTGTTTGCAACCGCACTTAGTTTTTGTTATTATTGCTGTTGTTGAAATTTGCATAAATGTTTTTAATTAAGGCATTTAAAGCATATTTTGCTAAGTGGCTTTTTAGCTGGGCAAGCATTCAACTTGCTAATGAAATTAAAAAGGAAGTGAAATGCACAAATACACACATGCACACACATATATGCTATACGTGTACGTGTGTATGCATATGTGTCTATTAGCAAAGTTCATTTCGTATTTAAATGCATAGAGAGAATTCCTAATTGAAATTTTCAGTAATATATTGGCTTTATTATCAACTTTACTGCAGTTAGTCTATACAATGTGCATTTTATAATAATTTTATTACCTGCAAATTATTCCATTAATAAGATTTTAATTACATAGTTGTAAGGTATTGAGCATTGAGCTTAGAATATAGTCAATGGTTACTTAACGTAATTACATGAATATGAAATACAAATTGCTTTTTCTCAATGAATTTTGATTGAATTTTGTTTATGGCCAAATAAATTAGGACGAATTCAATTCACTTTGGTAGATTATATGGCATAAATGCAGCACAGCACTGATAACAACGTTTGCCTGTTGCTTCTTTTATAATTTGAACTCTGTTACTATATAATAATTTGCTCTTATTGATATATAGTAAATATTATACACTATGTATTTTATATATCATATATTTAAATATATCATATAATATTTTATATATTATAGATGGTATTAGTTAGACGTGGCTAAGAAGTACAGAGTATTATATCATAAAAGTCCACAATTCTCTCGTTTCCTTGACATCTTAATTCTATCATTTCATATTAAAGCTTATAACTTCTCCATGCGTTCAAAATTCCCTTTAAAATCAAAGTTCCAACATTGCTGAAATTGAATTGTGTTGCGTACTGAGAGTCGTTGCAAGTCTGGTGAAATTTACACGTTTCCCTTTTTGGTTCTTTTGCGTGGCTCATCTAGCTAATGGCGTTCCAGAGCAGAGTTGACAGGCTGCAACAGTTTTTTTTATGTTTTTTGTTGTTGGTTTTGTTTTTTTTTGTGTTTTTTCTGCTGTCTCACTGTCAACAGAGCTGAACAATTTTTATTTATGCGCTTTTGTAGCGCCAAAATTCTTGACGGCAGCCGTCAGTCAACACGGTTAGATTGCCAGGCGGACTGGAGGAGCGGCAGATAGACGACGAGCTGGGCATGTGGACAGTTGTTGGAGACGGAGCGGACGGAGCGACAGCCAGCTAGCTAGCTGGCAATATGGCGGAGGCCGTTGCTGCGATGGAAAGCAAACAAACTGTAAACTGGGGAACGCCACTCAAAGTCGCGGCTTCCTGGCTGACACACTTTGTGCGCCCAAAGCGAGAGGAGAAGGGAGCTGGAGAAAGATGCATTGGCTAACTGTTGGCTGGAGCGTGTATCGGAAGCCTTTAGCTTGCCAACTCTAATTGAAGTCGATTGCATAGCTTGCAGCTATTTTTTTAATGCTTCTCTTTTCATTTTGTAACTTCATGCTGCAACTAACTTTGACATTATGCGCCACAAATTGTGGCAATTTAAGCCCAATTTAAGTCGCTGCAACAGCAAATATTTCACAGCTCTAGAAATGTGAGGCCAATGAAGCGAATCAGATCCGTTTTTCTGCGCTCTCTCGCATCTTTCACTCGTTAATCCCCACGTTTCAAGCGTGTCTGCCACATCGTCTAAAGGTAACAATTTATATAATGAAACTGATTTCAAATTTGTGATGTACGGGCCGCAAGCGCGAACTGAGCGTCGTAATTACCGGCCTCAGTCCCAAACCTGGCCAAAACAACAGTTATAAAAGAGGCGTCCAGAAAAGTCAAAAAAGAAATATAAAAGACAGCATGCCTGAATAATGAAGCTTAACCCATAACGAAGCTTAGATACACTTCTAATAATGGACATGTAAATATCAGCTGTGAAGTGTTTTAGTTAGGAAATATTCCCAAAAATATAATATTTATATATATCTGTCGAATTATTTCTATCTCGAATTGTTGCTAAGAAATAAATAAATTAATACAATTTTATATATTTATTTTGACAATAGTTAAAAGTACGATTTACCATTCCTATTCTTTATAAACATTATTTTATTATATTTTACATATAGATAGTTATATTTAACTTAAAAATTGTTAGAAACGCCGATAAGATTTAAATAAAATAATAGTTTATTTTACTATATAAATTAATATAATTTTAATATTATTTGACGAATTATGTACAACATATTATCATTTTTAAACAGTATTTACAAATTTTATATATTTTATCTGTTTATATATTTTAAAATTATATAAAGTGAACAGCTATATATTTTTTAATTCTTGTGAAAAATTTTAAAATATATTATACAGTTTGGGCCTGTTCTTTAAACACATAAGATTGTTGTTTTATTCATACTTCAATGGCTGCAAATATATGTTTAATTCATTGTAATTGTTGTTGAGACTCCAATAAAATTTGTAGACATTTAATTAAATTACTTATATTTATAGACCATTTATTAAATGTATTATTGTTTATTTTAGTGTTATAAAATTATTATTATTTTTTTTTTTTATTTGATGACAAGCGTTAAGGAAGATATGTATTAAATCAATTATTTTCATAACTTTTTTATATAGTAAGCCATGTTTCGTTTGCCTTCACATTAGTTTAGTATGCCCTCGTCAGGGTATTTGAAATTGAGCTAAGAGATCGAAACAAGTTTAAGAACTGCACCGACTGGTGGTGGTGTCGCTGGTGCTGGTCACCTGTTTGGCCGGCTCGTTGGGATGCGTTATTTCGATGGCAACGCCGAAATGTATTTGTGCCATTGGCAGCTGAAGAAGAGGCAGAAAAGAAGAACCGCAACATGATTTGGCAACTTGGCAACTTTCTTGCAGCGTGCAACAACATGCTGCAAGCTGGAGAGGGTTAGAAAAACCCGTTGCTCAAAAGACAAAAAAAAAATCATCTGTTGAATCGCGCATCTTCGGCCCAACCCACCTGACGGGGCAAGTTTTCGTGTGGGAGTCGTTTGCCACATTTTGCGGTTACTTTGAAAAATCTTTGGAATTTATTTTGTTGTATTTTTTCCTTAATTCTTTCTTTTTGTTTGATAAAAAAGAAAGTTGACATAAATTGTAAGCCCGAAGTGTGCGCTTTTTTTTGTTGTTTTTGCCCAGCTGAAGTTGCGGTAGCAACAAAAGTTGCCAGTTGCTGTCTGCTTGTTGCTGTTGCTGTTGTTGTCTTGTGTCGTGCGCAGGAAGGAAATAGTTTTGGCTGAAGGCTGCTGCGGCAATAGCTGAAGAGAGAGAGATGGCAAAAGAGTTGTTAACTGGGAATAGTTTTTTTTTGGCAAACTTATTGTGGGATTTTGGTGTCGAAATGAAATGCATTTGAAAGTTTTTGTGAAGCAAGTTAATCGTCTGTGAGTCTGTCTGTCTGCCTGCTTATGGATAGTTCATGGATAGAAATCAAAGCAATTTAATGATTGAATTTTTATTTTGATTGCGAATTGCATTATTAATAAATAGACACACAAAAGACGCCTGCTAAGCAGCTCCGTTAGAGTGAATTAATAAAACAGTTAACAATATAAAATAAAATAACAATTCATATACAGATATGTATATAAACCAAATCTATATTTTTAAGGCTTTCGAATCTAATATAATATTTTTATTTATATTTTGTTTTTATTTTTTTATGCCAAATCAAAAACATGTTTTAAAATTTTTGTTATTATGTTCATTATTAATATTATTATTTACTTAATAATGCTTAATAATGTCATATATTTTACTTAATTGTTTTTAAGTGTATTTTCATTTATTTAAATATTTTATTATGTTATTTCTCCCTTATTTGTTTTTCTTAGTTTATGGTACTTTTATTTGTCTCTTATTTTTAACTTTAATTTTTTGTAATGTTTCTGTTTTTCAGCACAAAAATCAATTTCAACAATCGAACGCAGCTCGTACATCAACCGCATAAGATCACAAAAGCTTAGCTCAGGCAACAACCAAACGCGAAATTCACCAACTCGCATTTAGCGCATGCTAAAACCATCTATCACAAAACGAAATCTAGCGCATGCACAAACCCAAAAGATCAATAGCGCTGCCTGCTTAAAGCTTAAAGCTCAGCATGGCCTCCACAACAACGACGATGTCGCAATGCAAAGACACAAACCCAACAGCAGCAACGGACGATGATTACATAACCGTTGTTGAAGTCGACGATCCCACATCGTCCACCAAAGACACAAACCATTTGAAGAAGCTAGTCAAACGGCAAAGTTCCGTCGCCGAAGACTCCTCATTTATTACAGTGCTGACCATAAACGAGCAGCAACAATTGTTGCAGCAGCAACAACAACAGCAACAGCAGCAGGTGCAATCTGGGACGGATGAGCCGGAGCATGTGACCGTCTACCGTTTGCCAGGCGAACGTCTGGGCTTTGGGCTTAAATTCCAAGGCGGCACACGCAACACGGAGCTGGTGCAAAAGCTGTACATACAATCATGCGCCGCCGACAGTCCCGCCTCCAAGGTGGCCACCAGTTGGGGCCATTTGCGCGAAGGCGACGAAATCCAGAGCATTGATGGCCATCAGGTATCGCAAATGACGCGCATCGATTGTGTGCGCTGCCTCAAGGATAGTGTGGCCATACATCTGATCGTGCGCAATGGCCATGGCCAAAAGCCACCTAGCGAGGATGAACAGCAATCGGAGGTGTCCATTTCACTCAATGCTCAGCCACCGCCGCCACCGCCAGTGCCACCACGCAAGCTGGTTAAGCGGCAAAACTCCAAGGAGGGAACTCCGGCCACAGTGCAGCTTGTGGTGGAGAAGCCACTGACACCGCCGCCAGATGCTGAGTACTACATCAATCTGTTTGCTGAGTCATTGAAAGCGGGCTCTGAGTCGGATGACACAGCGAGCACCATATCCACTGTCATTGATAAGCTGTCCATGGGCTCCAACTACTCATCGGACACGGAGTTGGCCAGCAGCCTGAATGGCCCCGAGCTGGCCAAGCTGGTGCAGCCGTTCACCCTACTCGAGGAGGAGTTTCAACTGGAGCAACCGTTGAGTCAGCCCAAGCTAATCATACCGGGCAACAATTACGAGAATGTTGAGTTCAAGACAGAAAAGGTCAATGTCTATGAAAATGTGGAGCTAAAGAGTCCGCTGAGCACGCCGACGCCTAAGCCGCGCGTGCTGCTGGCCACCGTGGAGCCCAAGAAGCGTTCCATTATACCCATGCCACGTAAGATCGCGACGCCCAGCAAGTTGCCCATCGAGGTGGCGCCGCCTCGTATACCCACGGACTCGCCCACAACGCCCACCAATGAGTCCCCCAAGGAGATCAAAGAGTTCAGCACGAAGATACCCAAGGCCAAGCTAATTAGCTCCATAGTCAGTCCGGGCTTTTCACGTGCCAAGACCGAAGGCGAGATTAAGCTGCATCTGCAGCCCGCTAAGCAGCAGTCACCGCAGCTCAAGTCACGCATACCCATTGTCACAACGCCAGTGCAGAAATCCCCGCCAGCTAACAAATCGATGGCAACATCAATGATAGCATTGACACCGACATCCCCGCTGTCAGCCAACTCCAACATTCCTCGCCTGCTGCAGAAGCAAAAGTCGGAAACGGATCTGAAGCTTGGCTTCTATCGCAGCAAGTCCAAGGACTTCAGTCCCACCCCAGGGCAGCTGCGCGCGCCGTTGCAGCGCGCCAACTCTGCGGAGGCGCCAGCACGTTCGACACCTGAGCGCACTTTTATACCTGTTCTGCTCAACAGTGGCTCGAGGAGCAGCTCCAACTCCACAGAGTCGCTTAGCTCCATCTGCAGCAATGGCAGCAATGGTCGTTCCCCGAAGGGTCCCAAGCCGAAGCCGCCGGAGCGCGTTCAGTCGCTGCTGAAGACGCAAATACCCAAACTGCAATCGCTGCCAACGACGCCGCCGCAGCAGCAGCCCAAGCTGAGCATGCAGACTTTTAGGCAATCCTCGAATGGCACTCCCCCTTCCACGCCCATGAATACGCCCTCGCCCACGAGCAATCGTGAGATACGCTTCAAGATACAAACCTACGAGAGCAAGACGCAGGATGAGGACAAGCTGCCCAGTCTGTTCGATCTGGTGCACAAGCAGGATGCCGTCGACAAGCAGGACGCAGCAGCCAAGCCTCAACGCGATATCGCTGCTCTTTTGGCTGCAGCCGCTGCCGAGGCAGCTGATCTTGCCAGGGAATCCCCGCCGCCCTTAGTCGTGGGCAAGTGCACAAAGATTGTGGACGACAATCAGACCAACACATGCTATTCGAGCTCCAGCAGCGATGAGGACGATGGCGAGCAGGACGACGTGGATGCTGCTGAGCGCGAGTACATCTGTGAGGATGGCGAGAAGCTGGGTCCGCCGGAACTGATCAACGGCCCAGGGCCCTCCGAGGCGTACTTCAATATGTATTGGCATTCGAATATGTTGCCCACTATTGGAGAGGTTGAGGAAGAGTTCTCCTCGCTGGAGCCACAATCCTTGACAAATGGGTGAGTTGTGCGAGAGAACGGGTGGGGGAGAAGGTAAGAGGTATATGGTGTGGAGAAGGTTTATGGAATGGGAGCTTATCAAATGAGTCAGTCCTTGAGCTTGTAGAGACGAGAGTTGGGAGTGAACTGTACATAAAATAGAGGGGCACTTAGAGTACTCTGAGCTTATATGAACGTGTTTACAGATGGGAGAAAAAAAGGAAAAAACTGAGAGCCAAAGCAGAACAGGCAGAGAATGATTTAAAATGAAAATGCAAGTGGCAAAAGAAGATAACAAATCCATCTCCTTCATTAGTCTCTATTCAAGGTTTGGTTTTCAGCTCTTTCTTTTGTATACAAAATCACTTAGATTGAATTATAGTAATAAACGTCAATTGTCATAGTCAATGGACCTGACCTATGTAGGAAAGAGTATTTTAGATGTGTCACAGCTTTTAACAATGAAAGCTATTGTAGACCCATTCGTGGTCTTTGTGTCTTGCGCAATCCGACATAAGCTAGTCGAAGCATTTGGCAAGATAAGGCTTTCCAGTTGGCAAAATTAGTTGCAAAAATGTATTTTGGAAGTTTGTAAATATTTGTGTATATATCTAGAATAATAATAATAGTACGAACTTTCACACATTCAGCGCTAGGGCTCGTTTACGATTTTGATAAGAGCAAATGCCGGTGTGTTTACAACAGCAGAGCAGAGCAGCGCGTAAAGCGCACTGATAAAGGCCTGGAAATTCGTAAAGCAAACTGATAAAAGCCAATGGCAACTAGCATTCGACTCAACGTTTGAGTCAATTAGTTCTATTTCGAAAGGCGAAAGGTATAGATTTTCGTGGCATTCAGTGCGATCGAGAGTTTTTATATATATATATTTTGCGCAGCGATCGAAACGACGGCAAATTTCCGTTTGCTGTTTCCGACAGGTGGTAGGCGGTTCAATTAACATGCACACATATATATACGTATACTCTTTTTCTTGATAAGAGGCTATCATTCTAATTACTCAATGTGCTATACACCCATCTAACCAAACAGCCACCCGAGTGCGATTGTCGAGGAGCTAAAGAAGTTGCCGCATTACGTACCACCAGAAAAGGCAACGGCCAAAATGGAAGCCCAAGCAGAGCAGACGCAAGCGGAGCTGGCTCAAGTCCAGAGCAATGATAAGATTGTTGTACATGCGAAAGCAGCCGGCGATAAGGCTGACCAATTTGTGGAAAGTAGCAGTGCTAGCACCGCCAGCACCGCCAGCACCACAACCAGCAGCACCGAGGAAACCAGCGAAAGCCGTAGCTCCAGCAGCAGCCAGAAGAGCTCCAGCAAGACCCAACGCACAATAACCACCAAAGTGGTAACCACCAAGACAAGCAGCACCACAAGTAGCAGCAGCAGCAGCTCAAGCTGCTCCAGCTCCTCCAATGCCTTTATGAGCCCCTTAGCGGACATATCCTTCAAGCTGCAGCCCTATGAGGAGCGCGAGGAGGCGCAGCCGGCCATAACGACAACCATACACGAAGAGCGTCGCGTGGTGCGTGAACAGCAAACGCTTAGCGAACTGAGAACCAAGGACGCTTTGACCGGCGAGGAGCAGCTGCTGACCAGCGCCGAGTCGAAATCGAGTAGCGCGCGCTTCAAGAAAATCAGCAGCAACGACAATCTGCTCGACCTGGCCGATGTCGAGCAGCTGCAGCCGTTGACTGCCACCGTCTCGGCGGAGACGTGTCTGAAGGAGCGCCTGGAGAATCCACAGGATAAACAGAGTATTGAAACGGGTATTTTGACATTATCCGAATGTGGCAAACAGCTGCAGCTGTCCGACAACGGCGGCATCAGCAGCTATACCGAATGCGAACAGACCGAGCAGCAAACCTATTTGGAGGGTCAGCAGCTGCTTAACGAGTTGCCCGTCGACAGCGATGCGCTGCCGACGCTTGAGCGCGAATTCAGCGAGACCTTGACGGTGAGCAAGGACGGCGAGAAACAGGTGACCAAACGGCTGGAGCAGAGCAAAGACTCGCCTGGCAAAAAGGGCGCTAAGCTGCTGAAGAAAACGGACGAAGAGCGCCGCCTTGAGCAGGAGGCTCAGAAGATTATTGAGAGCTATCAGAAAGTTAAGAAGGAGACGGAGAAGCTCTATAATCTGCAGCTGGCTGATGATGAGCAGGGCTTTGATTTAAGCGCCTTCGAGCAGGCGGAGCCACACGTAGAACAGCAGGCTAAAGCACAGGCAGAGCAGCAGATAGAGGCTCTAGTGGAGCAGCAGATGGAGAATGTAGTGGAGCAAAAGGTGGAACCTGTACTAGAGCAGCTCGAATTACAGGCAGAGCAACTGTTGGTGCCTCCAGTGAAGCAGGAGACCAAGGCTACAGTGGAGGAGCCCGTTGAGCTTCTAGTAGAGCAGCCGGTTAAGCCGGAGGCAGAACAATTGGTGAAGTCTCCAGTGGAGCATGTTGAGCTTCTAGTAATGCAGCAGATCGAACCACAGACGGAACAATTGGTTGCGACTCCAATAAAGCAGGAGACCAAGCCTCCAGTGGAGGAGCAAGTTGAGCTCCTGGCAGAGCTGCAAGTCGAAACTTCAGTAGGCAAACAGACCCAGGCCTCAGTTGAGCAGCAAGTCAAGGCTCGAGTTGAGCAGCAAGTCAAGGCTCCAGTTGAGCAGCAAGTCAACGCCCTGGTGGAACAGCCAAAGGATCAGCCGAAGCCAATAGAAAACGAAAATCAAGTTGCAGTAACTTCGCCCATTGTTGAGGATGATCTGGGATATGTGCTGCATAAGAACATCATCGATGCACCAAAGCCAGAAAAGCTGAGCAAGACAGCTACGCCGAAGCCAGCTCCAAAGCCAGTGCCCAAGCCCAAGCCGCCATTGCCAAGCAGCAAGCCCAGGATGAGTCCAACTGTGGTCAAGCCAAAGACGGCGCCACCACCGGTGCCCAGCAAGCGGAGCGAACTGGGTTTGGGTGTTAAGCCAAAGCCGACACAGCGACGCAGCAGCCTAGAGCTGACGCCGCCCAAGCCGCTAGAGCGCATCATTGTAGGCGTGGAGCAGGTTAATGAGAGCCCAATCATAAACCTGGCCAGCGTGGATTTGCCCAATGTGGCGCCAAAGGCTATCAACGATAATCTTGTCGCCCAAGCAGTTGACCTGCTGCACGATGATCTGCACTTTGAGAGCCATCGACTGCCGAATGCAGAGAAACAGCGCGAGGTTGTGGGTCAAAGTGGGGAATCCCTGACCGAACCCAATGGCAATGTGCTAAGTGCCAGCTCATCGATGACATCAACAGCGTCGTCATCGTCGTCCGTTGCAACGCCCATAACAACGCCAATTTTAGTATCAGCGACGTCATCGCTAGATTCGGTCAAAAGCGTCATCGAGGTCATCAATGGGCATGCCAACGACACCGACGAGCCGAACGAGAGCAGCGACAATGGACCAAGTGGAGACGACGAACAGCAGGTGGAGAATGTGTCAACAACGTTGACGCTCAATAGAGAACACGAAACAGGTGAGTTTTCATGCTAAGTGCAAGCAGAGAGGGTAATCTCTATCCCAGTGTGAGCGCATATGTGTTAGACACATGGCTTCACTTTTGGGAATCTGAAAGAGTTTTAGTCTGGTTCTGTTGACATATTTGATTCCATGGGGTTATAACTGATTAGTCTTTGGGTATTTTTATCTTGTGTTATTATTGATAAGGCCTCAAGACTGCTTACTTAATAAAAGTTAAAGAACAAAATATTTATATATATGTATATTCCTGATTAGGATTCACTTTCGACTATGTATAGCTATGTCTAGCTCACTAAGTCCATAAAAATATATATATATTTTTTATATTTACATTCTTAATCATCCATAGCTGTTTCTATACAGGTTTAGTCTTCAATGCAGTGCTAGTTACTTATTTCAAAAGCTAATAGCACGAAACCTTTGCATTGGTCTAAGAAACGAAGTCGAAGTTCTCCTCCTATTTTTACCTTAGTCAAAGGACTTCAACTTCTATCGGCTTTCCTTTTAGCTCAAAGCCTTTAACTGCAATTATTTGTTCAAAACACAGCTTCTGCCTTCTATTGCTATTTGTATTTCTAAAGTAGGCAACTTTCTATCTCAAACGTTTAGTCCTAATACTAGCTTTTTGCTTTAGCTTTCTCTATTCCAATTTCTTTTTCTATTGTGCAAAAGCTCATTCTTCCTTTAGTTTATCTTTAGTAAGAGTTTTTCTACTTTAAGCCATTTTATCCAAACTTTCAAAATTAAAAATTTTCAACTATTTCTATTATATATATATATATATATATATATATATATATATATATACATATATATACATATATATATACATATATATATATATATATATACATATATATATATATATATATATATTATATTATATATTATATATATTTTATGTTATTTATATGTTCTTCTTGAACTTTTTAGTCACAAATTATAATGCTGCTAATCCCAGTCCTAATCCTTATCCAAGCCTTATACTTAACTTTGAGTTTAAAGGTATTTTAGATTAGCTTGTTTTCCTGTCAAGTTTCAGATCTTTAGCTGCTTGATTTTGTGGGCCCCGCAGCAATTCCAGATTTTCCCAATTATTGTGCAATTCTCAAAACTCCTTAGGCCTCAGCTTCCGCTACAATGCAAGTCAATAGCTGGAGCGCTCTGTTGCCTGCCCAGCAATGTTCTATTGCTATTTAGCAGCGGTCATTGTGGTAAGCAACAGTTCGGACTTTTGACAACTCTCGACAGTACGTTGGCAGCAGAAGGCATACAATTATTGTTCATGCACTAAATACATAAATGTGTATCCAGCGTATCTCTCTCGACCACGCTGCACTAAGCCACAATCTGTAATGCCAAGCGCTGTGGTACGCAATTTCACTGCCCTAGTCCCGCCCCACGTGGTTTTGCATTTTGTTTGCCCTTGGCATATGCAAAATGCCACTAATGGACTTTGTGGATCTCTGACCTGCAGCTGCAAATGAAACCGAAATGGGACTGTGAACAACAACTTAGTATTTCAACTTATTTTTTTCCATAAAGTGTTCCCTTCTATGACATCGTATTATATTGGAAAAAATGCCTGTAAATATCTGGTTTTTGCACTTTCAATTAGAAATCGTTATATGAATTTTACATTTACACAATCGACAAACAATTCTCTGGAATAATAATTATAAAAAATATGTAAAATTTATGAAAACCATATAGACCGAATTATTTTCATTTAACCGGGCACAGCAACTACAAACAATATAAATAAAATGTACAACAATTGCCACGAAATGAAATGCAAATTGCAAAAGGTACCGAAATAGCCAAAAATAGCATATATAACCATATTGCGTATACGCCAGGTGTATAAAACCAATATTACGCGTGTGCCACACACACACACACCCACACACTAATACATATATGAATATACGTAATTGTTAGGCTTAAATATTTTATGTGCATTGGATTTGCATTTGTTTAACAGCAGAAGAAGAAAAAAGTAAATGGCAAAATGGGGAGAAGCCAAAATCGAATCCAATGAGCTGCAGAGGGCAAATAAAATATTGGCGCAATGTTTTAATTAAACAAAAACTGACAAATATTGGCACCTGTATTGCATTTCACACAGGTGCTTGCGGGGCATACAGAATTTGTATACCGAAACGCGTTACGAAATGCAGATTGCGTTCGCGTGCTGCGGTTCAGTTTTTCGAGGGGGTTTGGGCATATCCTTTTGGCCAGAAATATTAATCAAAAATTTTGCAGCCAAGCGAATTGCATTTGCATATTATACAGTGGGGCGAACATGGCTGAAAATTGACATGAAAATAATGTGAACTTATATTGTTTTTATTATCTAATCAATAATTGAAATTTTGCTGAATTCAGAAACAATAAATTGATTTTTTTACCAACATAAATGAGTTTATTGCAACATAGATTTATGCCCGTTTACCACCGTTATGTTTGCCATTTACTGTTTTTTTTTTTCAAGGTATTTATGGTACATTGCTTGTAGTGTTATAAATTACGGGATTGCACCAGGCTGACTATTCAAACTCAACAAATTATCAATTTTTGGATAAGCTTTTCGAGGTTTATAGTTTCGATATGGCTTACAGTTTCTATGTGGGAAAAATAAAGTAAATTTCTCTATCATTTTTGGGTTAGTTCAAATTGGAAAGCACTCGTAGTCTTATATAATTATAAAGATTAAATATATATATTTATATTTCTCTATATTATATATCTCTTACTTAACTCTTATAGCAGAGTTTTCAGTCCACTTCAAATATGTCACATATTTTGCACTTGAATTCGCTCATTTTCAAGTGTATTCAATTAATTATGTATTTTCAATTACGAGCGCATAATTATTGCATTCCACCTGTATTTATTACATTATGGCATTTCTCTCGTGTGATAAAAAGAAATATTTTTATGCCACATTGAATTTCATAATTACAAGCCTTTGTGTCTACCGCGCTCCCTCTTTCTGCCTCTCTGTCTCCCTCTCTCTTTATCTCTTTAATGGTAATTACTTTTATGGTCGAAATGCATTGATAGCTCGTATATTTTGTTCATATCAGACGCTATCTATCACTGACAACAAATATTTTTGTCCATATGGCGATAAGTTCTTATCAATATTGATTACCAATGCTATTCGTGTTTGTTATTAGCAACTGTGTCTGAATATAATGCTAATCTGCTAGCAGTTGGCACTGAGCGAACTAATCTAGCTCCATCTAAGCCCTAGTGTCTGCCTCCCAACAACCCAGCCACCCTCATTCGCCCCTTCAGCTGTGTGCTGTCAACGTCATCGTCAGCTTCTGTGTTCAGTTTTCTGTTTTCAGTTCTCAACACTTTGAAATTGGATTTGAAGCCATAATGGCCAGCTGACTGACTGACTGACTCGCCTTGCCTTTCCATATCTAAAAGCAGCTGAAACCATTTGCCATAATTGCTTTTGGGCACATGGCGCCCACTGAGGCGCCACGTTTGGCCCCAACCACTGAACTAATGAAAATGCATTTGGGGTAGCTCAGCCAGGGCACCGAAGTGCACTCGAGTCCTGTTTGCGAACGTATTACGTTTTATTGGGTCCCTGCACTATGCCACATATAAAGCTTGGACAAGCAACAGATTTCTGATAGTTAATTTAATAGTATAACATCTTTGAATTATTAATGAATATGTAACTTAATTTGGAAACCAATGCTAACAATGCTAAAACAATACAAGTCTAATTAACGTTGCTTTCTTATTGCATACCTTGTAGAGCTTTTAATATTTAAGAAAGCCACGCAGACGTGTAGAAAGTTTGTTCATTTTCAACCTGCCAAAAGTATGCCACGAAAAGCTGTTCAAATGGACAGAATAGAATGATTGGCTGGAAGCTGAAAGCCGTTTATGTATGATAAATAAAATATGTGATATTTATATAAACATAACTAGTCAACTCAATAAGCTTGACATATTTCTAAGCTTTGAATATTAAAATGTATTCAAAGAAAGCTCCGATTGGAATGAAATTAATTTTGATATATTAAAAAATGTATTAGTTATGTTGAAAAAAGTTTCTAGCCTGTAAATTTCCATTTTATATGATTTGAAATTGTATAAATTTTTTCAAGAACATGTTCAAATATGCGCTTATTTTCTTACCTGTATTGTTTTAGTTACTAATGCTCTTATTAAAAGTTAGAAATTAATATTATTATAATATTGTTATTAAAAATTATTTACATATATCAATTTATGGAGTATATTGGTAAAATATTATTACATGGAATATTTTATGGTATTTTCCATTCATTTTATACAGCTTAAGAGTATTGTAAATATATTTAATTATACTTTAAATTATAATTTATCTAATCCGAGTTTATAATAATATGTTCATCGATCTGTATGGCTTGCATGCCTACATTTTTCATTGAATCTGAGACTGTCTCATAAATTGAAATAATATTCGGCTTATGAAAATTCTTTAAATACAGTTGACCAAAATTATTTGATCTACTCTAAACTACTTTAGACTATAAAAGAAATTTAAATCAGAATCATACTGTTCATCAACATAGCTCCCAAGAAGAATTGCCCTAAATGTTATATAAATTTGTTAGTTCACCAACATATGTGACATCAAATCTAAAACTCTTAAATATTAATATTTCAATATAATATGTTAAAAATAGGTGAACTCTCATATACTGTATATTTTCACTCTTCAGCTTGCCATTCTTTCTATGAGTTTTAAAAATTTTTATCATGTCTAATCCTTGGTAATATATTTTCTTAAATATATCAGACAAATCGACATGTTATATGTGATTTTTACAATACAAGTAGAACAGGGAAAAGAAAGACAATAATTTTCATTTTCATATCAATTGTTATTTAAATTTAAGTCTCAAGTTTAAAATGTATTTCAACTTCGGTTCGCAATTCTTTTTTCAATTTGTTTCCATCATTTCTATTTTTATAAACTTC